GATCGAATCCAAATTTTTTTTTCTTTGCATGACTGAGGGCACTTTACTAACTTTGGAATTCGGACACACAGGTATTTAATCCAGTACCAGTTTTACCACCTACAAGTGGCCGTCCCGAATACTCGGAGAAGATTTTGAGATCTAGATATAATGAGGCAATGACTAATCTCAGGCCAATAGGCAAATCTGTCGACCTCCTTATTGTAATTCTGCCCGACAACAATGGTCCCCTGTATGGTATGCATTAAGCTCTAGTGAATGGAATGCCATTGGTTTGGTTAATTGCTTGTTTGATACTTTCTTTGATTTTACCTCTTTGCAGGTGACATTAAGCGCGTCTGTGAGACAGATCTTGGACTTGTTTCCCAGTGTTGTTTGACAACTCAGGTTTTTAAGAAGACTAAACAATATTTGGCCAATGTTGCGCTAAAGATTAATGTGAAGGTTGGCGGACGGAATACAGTGCTAGTTGATGCTATATATAGGAGCTTGCCTGTGGTCAGCGACCAACCTACTATAGTTTTTGGTGCCGATGTTACTCATCCTCCTCCTGGAGAGGATTCTAGCCCTTCTATAGCTGCTGTATGTTTCTTTCTCGTATCTCCTAGCTTATTTTTGTTTGCTTTGATCATCTGATCATGATACCGTAATTACATTATAAGATGGCTTTTTTCCTAACACATTTTATTTAGGTCGTGGCCTCTCAAGATTGGCCTGAAATTACCAAGTATGCTGGCCTAGTTTGTGCTCAAGCTCATCGCGAGGAACTTATTCAAGACTTGTACAAACCCCGGGAGGATCCTGTGAGAGGGACTGTAGATAGTGGAATGATCAAGTATGACTAATCTTTCTCTCTCATCCCCTCCCCCAACCAAAAATAAAAATGAAGGAAGAACAAAACTAACCCTGATAGGAAAGTTTGGGAAGGTGAAGATGGAAGAAGGATAGTGTTTTTTTTGGTCTATAATAAATCGTATAAGAGGATTAACTGGCATTCCTAATGACTCAGGGAGCTACTTGTATCGTTTAGGAGAGAAACTGGACATAAACCTCAGCGCATCATTTTCTACAGGTACCCTTTACATTTTCAAAGTCAGCAGGTTTACTTTCCAGGAAATATGTGCTATATGTGCCTGATAGCGCCAATATGAGTTGTAGGGATGGTGTCAGTGAAGGACAATTCTATCAAGTTCTGTTACATGAACTTGAAGCAATTCGTAAGGTTAGCCATTATCTCCCAGAAATTCACGAATTCTTAGATGGACCCCCTCATCTAGTTTTTCTTACCTCACCCGATCCAAACTCCTCTTCTTTGAGTGCATTTTATCAGTTTCTTTTTTCAGATGCTCTTGCTCTTTCTTTTTCAGGCTTGTAACAACTTGGAGCCAAATTATCAGCCTCCCGTAACTTTTGTTGTGGTGCAAAAACGGCACCATACAAGGTTGTTTGCCAACAACCATGCGGACGAAAGAACAGTTGACAGGAGTGGAAATATATTGCCTGGTAGACCATCCATTTAGTTTCAATTCTTTTAAAGTAATTAATGGGTAATGTCAATTGTGAATTCTATGACGACCATTCCGCTTGTGACAGGTACTGTCGTAGACTCGCAAATCTGCCATCCAACTGAGTTTGACTTCTACCTTTGCAGTCATGCTGGTATAAAGGTAAGCATTAACTGCTCTTTCTTCATCACTATCCCACTCACAGAGATCGGAGGGGGAAAAGTATTTAAAATGATTAAAAATATCTGCGGCCTTGCTTTTTAATTATGTACTTGTTCAAAATGCCAATGCAGGGCACAAGTCGTCCAGCTCATTATCATGTTTTATGGGATGAAAATGGGTTCAGTGCTGATGGACTGCAATCTCTAACAAATAAGCTCTGCTACACGTACGTCTTTTGCTGTTGCTTGATGAGGCGGCCTTTAAGCAAATTGCTCTATTATCTCCATCACTAAAAGTCAGGCTTAAAGGAAAGAATTAGATGCGACTCCAACCTAAAGATGATGAATAAAATTTGGCTTATGTATATGTGGTATTCTGTTTTTGCAGGTATGCTAGGTGCACTCGTTCTGTGTCCATTGGTTAGCTCTCTCTCTCTCTCTCTCTCTCTCTCTCTCTCCCAGAAAATCTGCTTTAATGTTCAAACTGATAATTGCTTCAATTTCCACAGTACCTCCTGCATATTATGCCCATCTAGCGGCATTCCGAGCCCGCTTCTACATGGAGAGAGATACATCAGACAGTGGCTCAACCACGAGCGGTGTCAGTGGTGGACGTGGGCCTGCAGGTCCTGGGGGGGCGGTCCCGAAGAGCACACGTGGACCAGCTGCAGTTGCTACCGTGAAACCCCTTCCTGCAATCAAAGAAAATGTCAAGAGGGTCATGTTCTACTGTTAGCATGTCTGAACGTTTATGCAATTAGTTCACGTGGAGTTACTCGCTCGGCATGGCTATAGCTATTGAAACTGAAACTATGTGGGACTTCAAACCTGTTATGGTTCTTGTTCTTTGCTACTTAGGAAAATGTTCTGCTACTTTGGTGGGCAGGTTTGAGGCATTTGCTTGATAGTTGTAATGAATCCTGTACTTGGTTTTCTTTACCCCCTAGGGTTTGGATGCTAAAAAGTTAGGGATGATTTCAAGACCCTTAATTTATTTATCAAGGGCAGGCTCTCTGGTTTAGCTCACAAGTAAAATGTCTTTTACTCGGTCACAACTGGGATTTACCTGAATCATTCAGGCAATATAAAGAAAGGTCGGGCCCATCTGAGTTGAGGCTGAGTAATTAGATGCAATGGTGTTACGCGTTAGTTTGTACTAACTGCTGCAGACGGCGTTTTACTAGTTTCCGAGCTCTTTAGTTTTAACTGGTTGTGATCGAAAAATCTCGAAAAGTTTGAGTCGGGCCTGAAGAGTTCGACTTTTGGATTGAATCAAAGATCTAGCATGCTTATGTGTAACTCGAGTGAACATCGATAACTGAGCCAGCTTAATGGATAGTTGAGTCTGGTTTAGAGAAGTCCGGGTGATGAATTGCATCAAGTTGTGCTCAAGCTACAAAGTAGTTTAGGAAAGTAACTTAAATGAGCATTTATTTATCAGCATATCATTCTATTAGTCAATTTTATACATTTGTGTGTGCGCTACTCACATTGCTGATGTCGGTTATCATTCCTTTGATAAGTAATGAGCTTAAAGAAAGCTCCCATGAGCAAATACGAAACGATTGGAATATGAATGTGATGTTACCTATACTTCCCATTGTGCTTTGGAAACATGGGCTTGCGGCTCGAGTCTGGCTCGACTTTTACTTTAAACAACGTAATAGGGAATCGGACTCCACTTGAAAACTCAATTATGCTCGAATTCGAGTTGGATCGTTCAGTCTTTAACCTTCAAATCGAGTCGATCTCAAGTCAAGTTCGGTCCTGAACTCCACTAAACTAACTTCGCTCGCTCGCAAATTCTTAACTTTGTTCAAGATTATCGAATACTTTTCTTTTCTTTTTCCTTCTCCTTTTCACTCAGATGAACAAGCAAAAATGACTGATATTGATCCCGCGCCTAATTCAGTGTGAGTAAGGGAATTTTCCTTTTGCCTGGGAAGAAGAAAGGTGGGTGGTATATGATGGGATTCAAGTGGCCACAGGGCCAAGCACTTAGCAAATCTCAATCATCAGTCCATCCCCAAACCATTAAATCCAGATTATTCCGGGTTTGGACCGGCTCATTTAATGGTCCACTCGGACTAATTAGTGTGTCGGACAGCATTCTCATTTTTTTCCAATCCTCTAATTGGTGGGTTACAAGTTATGGACATTATCCACATCCAAAATTAACTATATATACGTATAAATACAACGATTCGATAAAACACGATCTCTGTATGTGTACATTTGAGAAATTGTAAACATCGCCCACATTCAAAATAAACCCATCGTAAATGTGGGCGATGTCCCTGGTTATAACCGATCAATCAAAAGAGGGGTTGGATGAAAACATTACTTACATACGCGTACGCCGGATAAATCTATCAGCGAGGCATGCACCAAAACCCATCCGTGCATATATCAGGACGCGAAAATTTCAATCTTTTCAAATATCGGATTACTTTTCTCAAGAATATTTTATTACAAAATTCTTTTAACATATGCTAACTTTTCTCTGGAAATATATTAAAAACTCGAATTTTTGCCCCCCTCATTGAAACTGAATTATCCACACGGGTATTCTCGGCTTGACTCAGGATCCACCCCTTTATGTTGCAGGTCCCATTCGAAACTTTCACAATCAATTTTTCTTTTTCCAAGTATTAAGAGGGAAAGAGAAAAGAAAAGAAAATTCAAAAAATAAGATGGGAGAATTCAAAAAGCAGGTGCTTTCTAGGACAGGACTTGACATTAACAAGAGAGAACGAGTTGGCTGATGAATTCAAAAAAATCGCTTTTCCACTCTATCATCGCGTGCATGTGGGGGAAGGCCTCTACCCTCTCCAACCCTGCACTAGGTATTTCGAAACGAAGCTCATTGGATTCCAAATCACCTTAGGCGTGCTGGATTAGTGCATTACCTAGTTGGAAGAGGAGTTTTGGTCACTTCTCTCGCGTCGCCCTCGAAAATTTTTTAGAAAACTCACCGGAGGAGATGGCGATCTTCGCCATGTAACCGGGGCGACGAAGCAAAGACCGACGTCCCCCCATCGAAAACGGAAACGGGAGGGAGGAAGAAAGACAATGCATGTAGAAACGAAAAGGGGCACGTGATTGAGCATCACAGTGGAAGACAAAAAGTCCATTTACACGCCCGCGCACGCAAACTAGACGAAGGGAGAACAGGGAGGCCCCTGCTGTAACCGAGAGGTGGACGGATCGGGTCCTCTGTTTTGAATTGAAATTCACGTCCCAGTCTCATCACGCAACGAGAATGATTACTCTACGACAAAACCCAATTCGGCAATTTGGACGAGTGGCCGAAACTTCTCTTGGAAAAGTCCGCTGATCTTCCTCCCCTGTTCTCTCTCTCTCTCTCTCTCTCTCTCTCTGTCTCTCGCTCTGTCTGATCGAGTTTTGCTACGACACACACGGTTCGAGTCCTGAAGGGCAGCGTTCTTTACCGTCCTTAAGGTCCGTCAGTGTTGTTATTAATTATTATTATTATTTAAGGGGACAGCTCATTGCGTGGACCTCCTGCTGGAGAGGGGGGGGATTATAAATTGATGGGGGGTCCGGTTGCGTCAGGAGAAGAAACGAGCAAGAAATGAGGGGAACTGTCCGACTTGTGGCCTTCTGGGGATGAAGAGCAAACCGAGGAGGAGGCTGGAGATGGAAGACTGGCGCTAAGGGCGGAGGCGAAAAGCGAGACGGACGTCAACGCGAGAGAAGGGTCGACGCCAACAACGATGGTCGAGTCCACCGATTCTTCATCGACGGCTCCGAACGGCGGCGGCGGCGGCGGCGGCAGCTGCGTGATCGGTGTTAACGGGACGAGTAGCCACGACGGTAGCTGCAACGGGGACAACGGGAAGCAGGCGTCCGATGGGTTCGCTCCGCCGGTGCCGTCGAGCGGGAGCGGCTTCTTCGTCCTGCGCAATCTGAGGGTCGTGCTGCTGTTCGCCGGGCTCGGGGTCTCGTGCTTGCTCGTCTACGGCTCGGTCAACCCTTTCGCTGCGTTCTTGCCCGCTTCGTCCTACCCTGTCGACGCCGTTCCCAAGGTTGGTATCTGATTCTTGCGCAAGCAGTTCTCCTCCTCCTCCTCCTGTCTCTGTCTCCGTAATGAATTTTTGCGCATTTCCGCCGACCCCCGTTAGATAGTTTTCACGGGACAAAGCAAAACCTCAATCGTTAGACCCAATTTGGCTTCGAATTTCATGACTAGTATCTACGATGGGGCTGATTGAAGCGCCCCACTTGTTCGCCTCCCTCTTTACACAGGCTTCATTGAAATAAAAATACAGTCTTTGCTCTTGTCCAAGGGGGGGTGGGGGGGAATGAACAGTCTTTCTGCTATAGCAAAGAGAAAATATCTGCACGATTGTTCAGAGACATTAAGCTTAAGATTAGACCCTTTTGGAGGCAGTGAAATGGAGGCTGAAAAATAGGTGGGAGCTTTTGATTCAGCGGGTCTTGGTCTTCCCTGGAAGCTTCCACCTTGCGGACAAAAGTCAAGCCTCCATAAAGTAAAAGTTGCAGCAGTCTCTCTCTCTCGTTCTTTTCATGTTAGGTACATGTTAAACTCTCTTCTGTAATTTCTTTAGTAGAAGTAATTTAGACAGGCTTGAGTATGTTTAGGACAGCATTCATCAGACCAACCGAAAAGCCTCCAAGAAAACCACATGCTTTCTCAATCTGTCTCGCTATCACGCCCCATCGAGAAAGCAATCGCCACGTAACCGACATGGATGGCCTGGGGATTCTCGACTTTCAGATATCAAATTTCCGAAACTTTCTTGGGTTCAAGAACTTCGAAACTCCACTCCACTTGAATTCTTGCTGAATGTGTGATCCAAATGCATCTTGGTCACTGGACAATGTGAAAACCACGTCGTTATCTTCTCATGCTTCGCATGCTAATCTTGTGGTTAGGATGCATCCGGTGATTGCAAGACTGTCTTTGTCAAAAACCCCATCTTTGATCCACTCTCTCTATCCAAAATCTTCACTGCTGAATCAAACACCCACAAAAAAGAATTCCCCGCATTTGCAATCTGTGCCCACCACAATATCATAATTGCATCATCCCCCCTCCAAAAATAAAAACTACAAACCTTAGATTAATTGATTTTCAATAGTTTGATTAGAATAGCATTGGTTTGACCGAAGTGAGAAATTGTTCTTGTACGCTGCCGATTTGATGAACCGACCCGGTAAGAGACCCATAAAAGATTTTGTCCATTAAAAGAATATTAAAGATATGATGCATTGAAGTCATAATATTCTAGGCGTAGGCTCGGCCCACATGGTAGATTCCACGCACATTCTTATTTATTAAATCAAGAAAAGAAAAGGAAAAAATAACGAAGAAAATGGGAGAAGGTTACGTCCAATTCAAAAGAAGACAATAGAGAAAAGCCAAGATGAAATAAAATCATACTGAATGTTCATGAAGTCCACATCGTGGTGCGACGGCAATCGCAGGCCATTGAAAAGATACGTCCATGACTATATTGTCGAATTAAATTCGGAAATAAAAAGGAAGAAAAATTTCCATAGGTGGCGAGAAATTTATGCTGTCTCTCTTTGGGTTTTTCGCCACCTAACCTTGGAAAATCTTTAATTTATCCCAGGTTGGCGATGCCAAATTTCTCTTTCTTTCTTTTTTCAATTTGAAATTTCAATGGAATGCATCTATCTATTAAAGGGCACGTGGCCCGCCTGTCTTCCAGTTCTGAGAAAAGTGCCAAAGCACATGAAGCCACTCAATCCCATTGGTGGGTCTAGGCATACGATGGGCACTGGCCAATAGGGGCATGCTGTCCCTATAAAAAGAAGATCAAATATTAATTATAACGAAAAAAGAAAGAAGATAAATCAATCAAGGTTGTCTCTTTCAATCGTTGTCCCACGTCACGAACCGTGCCGGTATATCCGTCAACAAGGCATTAATTATACTTGTTCTCATGCTAGTGTGAACCGGATCTTCCACCTTTGATTTGATGATGGTGCCCTTTTGTTTATCCTCGATATCTGACATTATGAGAATAATTAATGTAATTTTTATGGTATTTTTCGATGATTAGATCTCTCATCGCAACCAAACCCACTTGCGAATGTGATCATCTGGTGAAGTTATTTTATCTTCTTACTGTATCATTGTACTTTGCATGATGAATTGGGTGTGTGGAACTTCTCCAAATAGTGAGGATTTTGCATGTCTGAAGCCCATTTCTCTCGTTTCATAGTAAGATTTGATCGAGTTAAGTGAAAAACTCTCGAATGACGAAGAAGACTAACATGAATATCGGACATAAGTATAGATTAGTCGCGCTCGGCTCGAGTCGATTGATGAGGAACATGCAATTATTAAGATTTACATGTGAATTGCTGAGGTTGTAAGACTAGGAGAAGTAAGAGTTTCTGCAAAAACTAATTTTGCAGGTGAATGGCACGATCAACAACTTGGACAGAATCCTGGAGGAGGCGTCCATGGAGGACAAGACGGTGATATTGATGGCCCTGAATGACGCGTGGGCCGAGCCGGGCTCCATATTCGACGTCTTCCTCAAGGGCTTCGAGATCGGCAACGGGACGCACAAGCTCTTGGACCATCTCGTGATCATCGCGCTCGACCACAAAGCCTATGTCCGTTGCTTGAAGATACATCCACACTGCTACGCCCTCCTGACCCGAGGCACCGACTTCTCTGGGGAGGCAGACTTCATGTCGCCTGACTATCTGCAGATGATGTGGAGGAGGATCGATTTCCTGAGAGAGATCCTTGAAAAGGGTTATAGCTTCGTCTTCACGGTATGGAAGAAAAAATTGAATTTGATTTCGTTGAGGAACTATGCGTTAGTTCTACTCATGTTTTTGTATTACTGGTCTTTCCTAGTTAGATGCCAGCGTTTTTGTCGTTGGTTTTGACAGGACACGGATATTGTGTGGCTTCGCGATCCGTTTCCGAGGTTCTATGCTGATGCGGATTTCCAAATCGCTTGCGATCACTTCGGCGGGAACCCATTCGATAGAAACAATGCGCCGAATGGCGGGTTCACCTACGTGAAGTCGAACAACCGGACCATCAAGTTTTACAAATACTGGTACCGCTCCAGGGAACAGTATCCCGGGAGCCATGACCAGGACGTGCTGAACAGGATCAAGATGGACCCTTTCATTGACGACATTGGGCTCCGGATGAAGTTCCTAGACACGGTGTACTTTGGGGGATTCTGTGAGCCGAGCAGGGACTTGAATTTGGTTTGCACGATGCACGCCAACTGTTGCGTCGGCCTTGACAACAAGATCCACGATCTCGAGATTCTGCTAGGCAATTGGAGGAAATATATGAAGTCGCTCCCTCACGCGAAACCGTCCCCGTCCTGGAGCATTCCACACGACTGCAGGTATGTTATGATTTACTAGTCCATTAGAAACATTGCGGAACTAAATGAAGCATGCTCTGTTTGTTTGAGACTTCTCGAAGCGATTCATGGCTGACTTATTTCCGTCATCATTGATACTCAGCGGGTCCTTAGGCCGGCCGCATCAACATCACAAGCAGCATAGTTAACACAGGGAATCGCTCCATTTTGGGTATGCACATTCTAGGATCCTTACTTCATTTTGAAAACATGTTATAAGTTTTGCAACTTTTTTTTTCCATGTCTTTTTCCATTGCTTTAGGAATTGTTATACAGTTTCGGGTTTGCGTCTTCAATTCCATGTTGAATTCAATCTATCTATTGTTGGGGAATATTGAAAAGAGAGTCCTTTTTGCACCACCTTTTGCTTGTTGTACATGGACTAATTCCAAATCAAGTACATGATGTGTGGTTCCAATCCAATCTAATGGGCTAGGACCTCTTATTGTTTTCATCAACCCACTGTTACTTAGGGGTGAGCACCGGTCCCGATCCAACTTGGAATCGGACTGGGACCGACCTGGTGCCGGGAACCGACCCACCCTAGAACTGAGCATCCCTATTTACTTTCATTTGACGAAGGCTAACCCGAATGAAGCAATGCGATGCACCTAATCATTTTGTGTGCGGAGAAGCCTCTCTATTGACAGTGTTGGAAGGCAAATGACTCCAAGAAGAGCCGAAAATCTCGGTAACCATAAATGAAAATGTTTTATGACGATACTATATGCAAGGTGAATGGACAAAAAGTAACTTTCTCATTTCAAGCATTAATCTTCTCACGTTATGCACAACCAATACAATGAAAATATTTTTCTATTTACTATGATTAACTAGTGCTCCGGGGACACTAGTTGATAAGATCTTTAATAGGAAAAAAAACCGGCCACCATCCACGGGAGCAGACACCAATGGTCCAGCTTTTAAGTTCACCGATGTTGCTTGAATTGGAATCAATTACTCTTCTAAATCGTCTGATATAGCACCACATATGCGTGAGGAGCCTAAAACGAGCTTTAACAGACCAATTCTTTCGTTTTTTTAACAGATAAAAAGTTCAAGAACAACCGGTTGTGCTCGTAACGGCACAAAGCACGCATTTCCCCGGACTCTCAAAATCTGAGAAAAACCTGCACTTTTGCTGGTACTAGAATGTGGTCTTCGCTGATAGTTTAAAGCAATTCGATACAGGTGTTCCGTTCCCAGGTTGGGAGAGCACAAGGACATCAAATTCACCCTTTCAATCCATCTTATTAACAGTTTCCCACCCCGACATGAAACTGAACACAAACAGGTTATTTTCCACAACTGACACAGGAGAGTAAACAAAAGCTGGTTTTTCAAAGCAACGGTAGAGCAGATATAAAAAGATGTGTGCCTCGGGCATTCAAGTCTAATGAAGTTAAGGTCAATGCCAATGACTGACCTTAGAAGGTTGAACACTTCACTATGGATTTGTTATGCGTAAAATCATCCAAGATGAGGATAATACGCAGTCCATGACCTTGTAAAGTGAATCCGATGATGTTATTACCAAGAAACAAGGCAGGGTCCCTTCAATATAAAAAAAGAAGCTATCAATATAAACAACTACAATATGCCCAAAAAAGGGGGGAAAAGTGGCTTACATGGAACCCCCAAAAAGTTATCGGATTCTCCTCCATGATACTTTCGATAGCAGTTCCCCCTGAAGATCAAGGAGTGCCTCATCAGTCTTCTCCAAGATCATGATCCGCCAGCACTCAACTCTTCGAGCAGAAACAAGAGAGAAGCAGAAATATGTCGCCCTCAAAGATTTTCCACAGAATAACCATGTGAAGCTTAAAATGTCAACTTGGTTGTATTTCCAAATCTCTATAAAGATGCCATTTCTTGTATCTTTGGTGGCCAGGCAAAACAGGTCTAATTCGAGGAGCAGTCATACAAGTTGAACAGCAACATCCTCTGAAATTGCTCACACAGTCTGGACAGCATCTGAAAATTTTATAAAAGAACAATGTGAAAAGCATTTATCAAGAATTTAGATCACCAGATTCAGCCTAGTTGACATTCAACATATCATATAATATTTTTAAAATACAAAATTGCACAACCTAGTCATGTTTTGTCGATCTCTTATTTTATTATCAAACAATCGAGTGTTAGACTATATTGCACTTTTATTTTTGGTTGGATGACTATATTGCACTTTTGAGTATTATTTACCCAGTCATTTGAGTTTAACTCCCCGAAGAAATTAATTCATGATTAACTATACACTAAAAGTTAGGGTTATCAGATGCCAAAACAAATGGTAACCAGTCTGCAATTTATAAAGAAACCCAAAGCTCCAACTCAGCCAACTTCATTCACCACTGCCGACTCAACTTAAAACACATCCATTTGAAAGCATATCTACAAAGAGAACCAGGCATAAGCACAGAATAGGTGGTCATAATTAAGGCCGAGTGCAAAAGAAATAAGACCAACGGTTTGTGTTGCACAGGTTAATTAACAAGCACAACATAGCTTCAGGCCAAATAACTTTTTTATTTTATGAACAAATCTTTTCAGGAGAAATAACTTCTCCTCAATTAGCTTTGTTATTTCCAGCAAGACAACAGATTACTGTAAGAAATCTGAGAGCCATCCATAAATTGACTGACAAGCACTGAGAGCAATACTGTGGTAGATAGATCAGAAGGAAAGGAGAGACAATAAAGTACTCACAGAAAAAGCAGGTTGCAATCAAGATTTGCACAATTCCGATGTCTCAACTCTTGGACTACTGAACCGCACAGATAGCATCTTGCAAATTTTTCATTCTTAAAAGCATGCTGCAGGTCACATGTTTGTGCCGTGGATCTAGGATTGTATGCAGCAGGAGGTAGAGAGAGACGGGAGTCGAACACAAACAAGTTGCCAACCCATTCCACTGGACCTTCGTTCTCAAGATAGTGAGAGACGCCTCCCTTTAAGGTGTACAACTTCTTAAAGCCCTTTTTTCTGCACAGTGAACAAGTAAATTGATATTTTCAGGCAGTGGTAGAGTATGTGACAGCATGTATGAGCTCCACACCTAGTTTGAATGTAAGGTCTATGTTTTAGGAAAGCAAGTTGGATTGGTGAGGCAGGTTTACAGGATAATCTATGCAGGACATCATTCAATAGAACATGAGGCTTCCAATGAGTCCTAACAACCCAATTAGAGTTCCTAAATCACTACGTCAACGAACATATGAAGTGGCATAGTAATTTAAACCAAACATATTTTAATTCTAAGACATGAAAGTCTTGACTGATGGAAACTAGTTCAACGTTGGCCAGTGGCTTTCTGCTTTTGGTTTATCAGGCATAAACAAGCATATTCGATAGTTTTCCCATATTCAATGGATAAATATGCCAAAGTATCTTTGAGATTTCCAACTGCTGATATTGCCAGCTTTCATGAGCAGTGGACAGCAGAAATGAAGTACCCCATTCCCAATTTGGCCAACCAATGCTATGTACAAAGACCCATGCATTAAGAGGAATCCACTGGGGCACAGGACTACACGAGCTGGTGGGGCAATCTTAATGTGGAAAAGATCATGTCATAACAAGAAAGATGCTTACAGGGATCATTATAATACCTTAACATGGTAGAATACACATCACAGCGGATACCGCCAGTGCAGTACATAAGTACATCTGTTTTCTCTCTATCGACATCTGCTAATGGATCTGAATTATTGACCTGGATGCAAGAGAATTACAAACTGAAATAACTGAAGTTACCGATATGCCTGAAATACAATTGACTTTTGACATGTACGCTGTAGTGGTCAAATAAGTGTGAGAATAGCACAAGCTTTCATATGTAATGTCCAGACACTTCAGACAAACCCTTCATCAGAATGAGTAAACATCGCAACATTCTATCAGGAGCATCCACATAAACATGCCTCTTCATACAAATCATTATGCGGTTATGAAATTACATGTTGCAGGCCCATATTAGCATAGCACAAGTAGCAAGAGAAAAATGCTAGGGCTGACAATTGGTCTCAACTTATCACGGCTGTCTCACCATTGTATCAATTGGTATTTAAAGTTTACTTATTAGAAAAAGGTGTCAATTTGTGCTGATATTTTGTCAGATCTGGACACTTTCTATGTTCCTACTTTGATCATGTCTCATTCAGATCATGGTATCAGGTTATGCCAAACTTTGCCAGCTCTAACCGATGCACCTGCGCATACGTGCAAACCTGCTTGAAAAGCTCAGGTGTCGAAATCAAGTGGCGGCACAAATGATTCCAAAGTCCTATATCAAATTTCTACACTAGACATAATAAATGGTCTTTCTGATGGAAATTATAGCAGCTTGGATGTGTCCCTTTACTGTATCACAAAACATTTTTTCATGACAGTAATTCCAGCAAATTCAAATAATGCTAACTGAGAACATGTTCAGCACATGAGACACAAAAGTATACAAGCAGAGTGAATTCAACCATACCTCTGTCTCAGATAGACCGAATGAAGTGCTCCTAAAACAGTCCACTTCAGGACGCTGTGCCCCACGAAAATGGCCAATATCCCACTCGTAGCCTGCTTAAAAACGTAGACATGACTCATTTCTCTGAAGTACAAGACCAAGAAAAAACAAACACAGGCTTGGCACAAATAATGATGAAATGTAGGTTTTCACGATTAGTCAGGAGGTCACTTGAACAATTGGGTTGCTCTGTTTCCCCACTCTTTCCCTATTTCATATGGTTCTTTTGAGCTAACCAGCAATATCAATTATGATTGAGCTTCATAACTGATAAAAATAAAATTCAATTTGGCATAAATTAAATGCCACTCAATCCATACAGATTTAACACAAAAGCAGGTACCATTTCTTAGATCCAGTATAATGCAGTCTGAATCCATATTCCCAGTGGATGCATCACGGCTTCTGCTTAGTGCTTCAACTCGTTTCTTCCATTCAGAAGGTTCTAAAGGTGTTGCTCTCATGGTAGGGTTGAGCAAAGGAAGATGTGCAATACCTCCATCCACCTGAGAAGAAAATAGCTTAAACAGATTAATCTCCCCGTTAATGTAGGTACATGCATAATCAACAATTAAATTGAAAATCTTCAATCAAAGAGAGAAATGACAAAGAGCTTGCTCAGATAGATAAAGAAGAAGCAATAGAAACAGCTCACCTGTACCAAGGGCTTAAACTGCACTTTTAATTTCGGGAAGGCATGCCCACTTAGAGCAGGAGAGATCTGAATCAATATATCAGAGAATCTGTCATCTTCTCTCAACCATTCGAGATACGAGCGAGCATCTGCAAGTGGCCCACTATACTGCATGACGGTGAAGCATAAGGGGGAAATGAATAAGAAATAAGAATGACAAGCAAAACTGAATATGGTAAGTAGGCACTTGTATTGACCAGTTTACTTCACCTGTAATTTGTACCATGCCGTTCATTCACAGAATTCCCACACAAAAAGGCTTACACTCAAAGACAAACTGTTTCCACTTATCATCAGTTCCTGCCTCATGGTAATGTATGTACATGGAACAACCTTTACACGTCGCTATGAGTGTACTTGATCAGAATATAGTAAAAGAAAGGCATTTTAACGTGACATCCAGGCATAAGAGTTCCTGGCATATTGTGGCTACAGTTTTGATACACAGTACAGCATTCTCTAATTGCCAATACACTCAGAGATGGCGGAAAACCAGGAGACCATGACAACCAGACCGAAATGTTCAGACTTTCGATAACACCGTCCTTTGCTTTATCATCTTGCACGCGAAAGCAAGCCGTAGTAAGTGCCACCATTGGGTGACGGACTTCTAATGAGCTCTCAAAAGGAACACGAGACTGAAAACGGTGCTACTTAGAGAAGCAAAGAGGGCAACGACCACCAAAAATGCAAACCAAATGGACCAAACTGTAAGAATACCTGCGCATTAATCCCTTGCTCATTGAGATATATCCGACCGTGTATATCGTGATCCTAGACACATACAGCATCAGAGTAAGCACCTGATTCATTGCAGTGTTGAAACTTGAAACTACCAACCGCAGCAGCATTATGCGAATCGATCGTCAAGCACAAACGGTCCAGAGCCCGTGAACCAGAGGCGTTACCTTCAAGAACGCGACGTGCTTCGCGACCTCCTCTTCCGGATTTTCAACGCACACGAAGCGGTAGAAATTCACGACCACGAAATCTCCTCCGGAGACCCGCCGTAGGTTCGCGCTACTTCGAGGAGAAAGAGCCGCGCAGCCGCGCATCGCGCTCGAACCGCTTTTCCTTCGCCGTCCGAGCGGCGAGACAGCAGGAAGCGAAGCTCTTCCACGGCCGGCCGAAGCCGAACACGCGCGAACCCGCGGCCTCCGGCAACGGAAGACGGGTTTGCCGCCGCCATTCTCGCCGCCGGCGGAGGTCCTGAGCCTCGGGAGGCGAACGAACGCGGGAGCGACCGCGACGTCGCGGAGAAGAGCCGCGGCGGCGAACGAACCGGTGAGGCTCATGCTTTATCTCATCGTCATCAGCCTCTGCGAAGAAGATGATGCGCTCCTCTTCGTCGACGCGCGCGCTCGCGGTCCGTTGGTGGGCGGGTGACCCGCGGGTCGGATCACGGGCAACCGGGCCTGGACAATTCGGATCCATTAATAAGGTCATTTAATTCGGGCCAAGCCTCACCGTGGCCCATAAAAATCTGGATCGATCCTCTTGGACCAAGCCCGGCCCGGCCCGTCCGGTCCATGACCAATGTTGTTTTCACCGTATGGCGATATCGGGAAAATGACGCAAACTGTCCTTGAACTTTGGCCGAATGTATAATGTGTTCCCTGAAACTTTGATTGTTTTAACGTAGTCCGTGAACTTTAGTTTAACGTTTAGTGTGGCTCCTGAACTTTTAGTTTGTTTAATGTCTTCTCTCATGTTCAATGTAGTCTCTGAATTGTTCAATGGAAGTTCAGGGAGCATATTGAACATCAGGCTAAAATTCATGGACTGCATTGAACAAATTAAAAATTCATGAACCATATTGCACATACGGGCCATAAAAATCTGGATCGATCCTTTTGGACCAAGCCCGGCCCGTCCACGACCCGTCCACGACCCATGTTGTTTTCACCCGGTACGGCAATATTCGTTCCCTTACCCAGAGGGCCGCGCGCCATGATCTGGACACGTGTCGCGTCGAGCCCTGTCCGCCGTGGGATCGCGGTCGGGGTGATTATCAAAGCGTCATCCTCTGGAAAACCTCACGGGGAGCGAGCGGGGGCTATAATTTTGCGGGCGCCGTCTGGTAACAAGAGCTCTCTCTCTCTCTCTCTCTCTCTCTCTTACTTATCTTCTCCTGCTCCTCCTAAAACCCTTCGACCCCGCAAAATCGATTCGAGCTCCGGAGCCAAGTAAAGGTACGGCCAATGCCCCCGATCTCGCGCCTCTTCCGATCTCGCTTCGCGCCTCGATGGGTTTCTTCATTTCTCGTGGCTCGGCAGTTGAGCTTTTTAGGGTTTAAGGCCGCGGTGGAGCTGGCAGCTCCTGAAAATCTTTTCGATCTTGCCGAACGCTTTCGATTCGATATCGGTTGATGCTGTCTTTTTTTTTTTTTTTTTGTTGGAGATTTTACTTGGTCGGAGTGTTGCTTTTGATGTTTGTGGCGTTGGAGCTGGGGTCCCTTTGGGCATTGCTGTCCTGGAGTTGGTTGGTTTGCTTTTTGTGTTTGCGGTTCGTTGTCGCTTGATAGTGTTTCCTCGGAGCATTCTTGGTTCTGGTTGTTGTTCCTCCATCTTGTCATCTTTATCTGTTAGCTGTGGTGTGTCGTGAAGAGGGGGAGGTGGTGGAAAATGGGTTCCCTCCGATGTTGCTGTGGGAGCCCGGTTTATGTAGGGACAGTTTGATTGATCGATTTGCTAGAGAAGTGAAGCTAGCTTTCCGACTGTTTTCGGGTCGATAGCGGAGCTCGTGTTTTCCTCACAAGATTTGAGCTGAGATTCTCGAACATGCGAACTCTGTGCCTTATCTGGCGCTAGATATAGTTTCCTGTTAAGGGGTTTCTTAGGCACGTACCCAAAAGAAAAGAAAAATACTTTACTCAATAGCAGGTTCCAAACTATAATTCCTTGCTTTGGAAATAACTTCAGCTACCAAAGTTCTTATGCTGCTCATTTGCATGCATTCATGATTAATCCTTCTCTTATGTTTGGCAATATAGATTTTAGTAAAGGGCATAGAGGCTGTGCTATCTGATCTGTATCAAAAAGCAGATTAAAGACGTTTGGGCCCGATATAGGGAGTAGGCAGGTGTGAGACTTGGTAATTCTGTGAAAGCTAGCAGCTTTGTAATGAGTTTCAAAGTGAATGTTTATGCTTGAGTTGTTCTTCTAAGTTCTGTTGCCTGCATTCTTGTGGCATGCTTACACTCGACAATTCCATGCGCAGATGAACGTAGAGAAGCTTATGAAGATGGCGGGTTCAGTCCGCACTGGTGGAAAGGGTACCATGAGAAGGTATGAAGTCTGTTCTAGTTTGATAACTGTGGCCTGTGAATACAAGCAGAGCTACAAGTTTCTACTCAAGGATTATCTTGACTGATAAAACATAGGCCTGCGGATGTTGCTTCACTTGTCCTGGCCATATTTTGTATGATCTCAAAATTAAATTTCAAAGATATGAATCATTGATAATAAGTACGATAGTGATGGTGCTTTGTGTGGGCTGAGGTGCATATCTTGTTGCTTTGCATTGTTCATATTAAAATTATAAAAAAACAAAACTATGTTTCCTCATTAATTAGGATCACTTGCTTTGTTAATTATATGTTAAATGCAGAGAGATTATCTGATTCTATTTAATTCTACTTTTTGTGCTTGCCCTTGGTTGTGCCTGCAATTAGGGGTGAGCATGGTCTGGGTTGGGCCGGTCCACCCCCTAACCCTAGGACCAACCCGCACAGTGTTGGTCCTCAATTTTGGGACTGAGGACCGCCTATCGGTTCCATGGATCCGTCCGGGAACCGGACCGCCGGTTCGGTCCGGTTTCTGGGCGGGTCTATGGAACCGGTCCCACCAAGTTTTCCTGGACAAATAAAAAAAAAATATGTGGACCAATATCGGATCAACGGAACAAAAAGAAAAGAACATAACTTTCCATACAATTCCTATACTATGATCGGTTCTATTAACCACATCATCCATAAATCAAGTGGGTACCCATCAAATGAGTGTCTAGAGATAAGAGAGCAGAGAGTTATGAGTGTCTAGTTACGTTTTTCTTTTCTTTTTTTTTAATTGTTTTTTGGTCAGATTTTTTTAATTAAAATTTTAAAAAATAAATATATTATTATTATATTACCGGTCCGGTCCGGTCCGGTCCGGGTGGGCGGTTCCACACCGGGAACCGGACCGATACCCACCGGTTCCAAAAAATTAGAACCGGGAACCGGACCGGTCCCCTTGGGAACCACCGGTTCCGGTCCGGTCCCGGGCGGTCCTAGGCGGTCCTGGGTTTTTTGCACACCCCTACCTGCAATTGTTGTTTCCGGCAGCATGCATTTTTAAATTTCTTTTGCATTCTATTGCAGAAAGAAGAAGGCCGTGCACAAGACAACTACCACGGATGACAAAAGGCTCCAAAGCACCCTGAAAAGAATTGGAGTTAATGCTATTCCTGCAATTGAGGAAGTCAACATTTTCAAGGATGATGTCGTCATCCAATTCGTAAATCCCAAAGGTTAACCTACTTTCTAATAGAAGTGCCTGGTGCATTGCTTTGCTGAACTCAGTGATGGTAATATTATTTCTGTTTTTGGACCAGTTCAAGCCTCTATTGCAGCCAATACATGGGTTGTTAGCGGTGCTCCTCAGACCAAGAGTATGTATCAATTTTTTTTTTCATGAACCATTTCTAGAAGCTTATTTTGTGCTTGTGTTGAGAACCAAGAATAGTATAAAGTGCCACTGCATTTATATTTGTTTGTTCCTAAAAACATTGTCTCGAGCTTCATATTGTGTGTCTCAAATATATCTATTTAATTTCAAACTACTGGGAGTAAAACATCTAGGGCTAACTCTACTCATTTAATGCTTTTGGGTAATCTCACTTGTCTAAGTTTTTCATCGAGGCCTGGAGAAATCTATGATATTTTGGTAAATACTTTGGTCGGAGGTGTCCAATTGTGCTTCTGTGCCTGGTGCTTGATATTTTTGTCTGCAGAATTATGTGCATGGGCACACGAGTGTCTTTAAACTTTTCAATTCCTAATCACATAAATTGTCTTTTATCATGCTCCTTCCAGAATTGCAAGATATTCTCCCGGGAATAATCAACCAATTGGGGCCAGATAACTTGGACAATTTAAGGAAGCTGGCCGAGCAGTTCCAGAAGCAGTCACCTGGTGCAGCTGCCGCTGCAGGCGCAACCGCAACACAGGAGGATGATGATGATGAGGTCCCTGAACTTGTTCCTGGGGAGACTTTTGAGGCTGCTGCGGAGGAGGGTCACACATCTTAAAGACTCTAAATGGATTTTGTGCCATTCCATATATATTTTGTGGTGTTTAAAATTTTGCCTTCTTCCCTTCGCCCTTCTTACTTTCACATTTTGATGAAGTGTTCTGTGATTGTCATCTCATTATCATGTGACACACTAATTAGCTAAGTTACTGGAAACTCTAGTTCAAAGCTACTCTCTTTTATCTTTATCCACTTAAGCTTTTGCAGAGGTGCTTTGGAATTTCAAGGATCATGAGCTTACCTGATTTGCGCTGGTTGTTTGAGAACCTCATTGGAACAAAATCGGACCGTGTGGTTGCCTCTTTTTGGCCAATAATAAGTTTGATTTATTAGGATGCTTGTTACGCTACTTTGAGATAGTAGAGCAACCCAAGATCGGGACATGTATGTACACACTAGTTGAGAATCTGTTGAGGCTAATTTCCAAATAGGTAGTTGAGGAGGTACCCACTAATGATGGTCCAAAAAGGCCTCAAATCAGGAATATTCTTGCTTTGCTTTGCCTTTAATGGATGCCCCGTGCTGATGCGACCATCAAGTTAAGTTGATGACAACCCATTTCTCCTTTATATATGCAAAGCACTTTCCATTATGTGTTTGTTTTAGCATACTGTGTTTGGTATGTTGTTTTGCGTAGAGACATGCGTATATGGGAATTGTTAATGTTCTGAGCTGAGCTTGTGCTATAGTTTATGCGGAAGCAATGTAATCCACAACCAAGTTGATCAATGTTATCTTTGCAAGATGCACCGACCCATTATCATATGTCTCATATGTCCAATTCCTTTTTTCCTTTTGGTTAAATGTTAACTTGAATTAGTCTGAAGACTTTGAATAGTGCTAGTGCTCTCCTTATCTCTGTATGAGCCGAGTTTTAGTGCTTTGACATGTGAGTTTTTCTTTAACATCTGTGACAAATGACATCTGCACCATGTTCTTACATCCCGAATCAGAATGCGTGAACCTAATTTGCTCCTCTGTCGTTCAGAATAATAGGCAACGGAATGTAGCGGGACGCCAGAAATTACATGGCTTCTTTCTAGGTATGATTTGCTGGTATTTGCCAAGATTTGATTCTGCTCTGGCTACTAAAGAGATGAATCTGCTTCTGAATGTGTAATGAGGTGAAGGTGAATTAAGAATCAACAGCTCATAAAGCAAAGCTTTCTGATTCTGCTGTACCATTTTCCTTTGATCCCTGCGAAAACAGTGGGCATCACTCAAGTTAGTGGCTCTCTGACGTGGCCTTGGGAATCCATTTCAACTTGCCCACTTTGGCTGGACTCCACTTCATCAATGACCATACCCCCACTTCCCCATGATAATAACCAATAAAAAACTTCGATGTTTGGAGAGTTTCATGAGGCTTTATATATAGTACATGGTCGTCGTTCCATGAGTCTCCTCACCGCTGGTTCTTTAAATTTGGATTTCTGGGCGATGTGCATATGAGAACTCAGATGGTGATCTCGAAGTGGCCTTTGTGTTCCTTGATCGCCTTAACGGCGATGTCGTGGTTATGGAGTTCTTGTATGGTTCCGCGAGTAGCCGGTTGTGATGGCTTCGACGAGCTCTTTCAACCCAACTGGGCTCCTGAGCACTTCAAGTGTGAAGGTGACCAAACAAAGTTGACTCTTGATTCTTCTTCTGGTAAAACATACCTCCTTCCCTCTTGACTCTCAGTTCAGTAGTCCTCTCAATTCCCTGGTCTTGATTTGGTCCCATTTCTCATACTCAACTTATAGACGATGATTCGCAAGGAGACGATTAGAGCCGGTTCGTCCTCAACTTATCATCACGACTAACGGTCTAAATACCCTTTCCAGTTGAAGTACAAACTTTGATCTTCAAAGCCGACACGGAATAAGAACGATATGTATAGAGCTCGTGAAGCTTGGTTTTTGTGTCGTGTCGCATTGAAGAATTGAGAAATGACCAACTATGCACAAGAAAGAACCAACTACTATCAGACTTTGAAGAAACTGAGTTCAAGCGTTATTGTATTCAAATTCAAACTTGACTGAAATCAATTTGAATTCGTTAAGTGCTAAACACAGCTCCATCGTTTACCATAATCCCACTCATGAATCGAGAATCATCGTGGTTTCCTGTAGGTTGTGGGTTCGGGTCCAGGAAGACGTACCTGTTTGGACTGACAAGTGTGCAAATTAAGCTAGTCCAAGGCGATTCAGCCGGAACAGTAACGGCATTCTACGTATGTAACCATCCCGACTCTATATAAGTTATATTGTTTCCGAATTCCGATATGCGAAAACTGATGGATGAAAAATCACTGCAGATGTCGTCGGACGGGCCCAACCATGATGAGCTTGACTTCGAGTTTCTGGGAAATCAATCTGGAGAACCTTACCTTGTACAAACCAATGTTTATGTCAACGGCACGGGAGATAGAGAGCAAAGGCATAGTCTTTGGTTCGATCCTACCTCGGATTTTCATACCTACTCTTTGTTCTGGAACCGACATTATATCATGTACGTCGTCCTCGATTCTCCTTCCTAATACTCTTTCTCAATAGATAGTTATTTGCACGCGTTTTGTACGTTTGATTTTGTATGGAAATGGACAATGGCCTATCACATTGCTTACACTGGTATTCTTGTCAAACAACGTAGGTTTCTCGTTGATAAAACTTCTATAAGAGTGTTCACGAACGTGGAAGAATCACACGGTGTGCCATATCCGAAAAACCAGCCTATGCGAGTCCGTGGTTCGGTGTGGAACGCCGATGATTGGGCTACACAAGGAGGAAGGGTGAAGACGAACTGGAGCCACTCGCCTTTCATCTCTTCATTTCGGTCCTTTGACATTGATGCCTGCGAGCTGTCGCTGGAGACGGATGATATCGTGACCAAATGTGGACAATTAGGGCAATACTGGTGGGACAAGCCGTCGTTCGATGAGTTAGGTCGGCACCGGAGCCGCCAACTCAAGTGGGTTCGCAAGAAGCACTTGGTCTACAATTACTGCGAGGACAAACTCAGGTTTTCTGAGCTTCCTAAGGAATGCGTGGATTAGCATTGGCATGTATGTGTATGCTTCCATGACTGTCGTTTGATCTAATCAACAGGTCTGTTAAGTTTGAAAAGCTTTAATTCCTCGCAATTTGCAAGCCTAGTAATTTGTGCGACTCTGATCCAAGGTGTGATCTTAATCTCAATCTGAGAAATCAATCACAACGTGCACAACATCGATGTCATAAACGATGCATAAGCTGCTTTCCACCATTCAAAGGGACAACAGTGATTTTAGTAGCAGCATTAGGAATCAAATGAGAGTTCTTTCAATGTTTTCCTATGGGCCAAATTGAATCAATTCGGGTAATTGGATGACTAAGTACTTGTAGCCAAATCACATGAGAGTTGATTCCTCTAAGGTGATTGACCCAGTTGTAAAAAGGGTCACCGCAAAAAGAGTCATTTTGGAGGTTACAAATTTGATTCACGTCGTGAGAGAATTTTTAAAAGAGCGGTGCTGCATTGTGTGGCTATTACAAACTTTGTGTGAAAGAGACATCCTGCTGCTGATATATTGGTGGGATTCTGGTGACGGGCTCAACCAATCTCAATGTTTAGGCGGTACGGAATAGTTATGGCTCAATGCGACATTGCGTAACGAGAATAGGGTATTCATAGTAATACGCAGCTCGTTGTCTATTCCCGTTCTTTTACTTACAAAAAAACTATATGAGAAAATAAATGGTTGGCAATTCTTATGCTATTACTACAAATACATGTTTCGTAAAATTATTAGTATTATACATGTATATGTACATTAAGGTTGACACCGTGGAGGTCAAACAAACAGCATATGCTTCAGCACAATGCGTTGACCATCACGAGACCCGTTTCTTTTCCCGACAACCTCGGCGAGGATCGGAATTCAGTTCTTGTTCGCTTTTACTCTAGCAGCGACCGCGACGCCGTTACCGTCGGCCGGAGGAGGCGGAGGAGATGACGCAGCTCACCGTAATCTCTCCCCTCGGCCGCTCACTCTCTCTCCCTCATCCCAAACGGCGCCGCCTGGCCGCCGCCGCCGCCGCCGCCTCGTGCTCGGGCTCGTCCGGCCTCGCCGAGGTCAGGGTCTGCACCAACCGCACCTGCCGCAAGCAGGGCTCGTTCCAGACCCTGGAGGCCCTCTCCGCCCTCGCCCCGCCCGGCGTCGCCGTCAGGGCCTGCGGCTGCTTGGGCCGGTGCGGCTCCGGTCCCAACCTCGCCCTCCTGCCCGAGGGCGTCATCGTCAGCCACTGCGGCACCGCCGCCCGCGCCGCCCGGGTCTTCTGCGACGCCGAAGACGACGTGCTGAGAAGCCTGGAGGCGCTCGCGCTGAGGAAGAGAGCCGAGAGCGAGCTGGAGAGGGGGAATTTCTCCGATGCCGAGGTCCTGCTAACTCGGGTAGGTTCTGGTTGACGCGTGTTTTGCTGCAATTCGGTGATTTTTGTGCTCATTCTTATGGGAATGGTCGTATGGTGTGGGTTAATTGGTGATTCAATTGGGTTGGTTTTGCTTATTTTAAGAACATTTATGCTGATAGAGATTAGAGAATGAGTGCATTGAATAGACCGTAGCTGATCCAATGAAGGAGATGGAGGAATGGCTATTCATGATGATTATTTCTTTGTTACGCAGGCTATAGCAATAAGGCCATATGGTGGGATTCATGTGATGTACAAAGACAGGTTGGTCCAACAATTCCTATCACCTGAGGTTCAGACATTTTATGCATCTTGCTACCGTCGATGGTGAACTTTCTAAATTTGTCGCGACTACGGAATAAGTATTCCAAGATGAGATTTTACCCCCTTTCCTGTAGTTGACAAGGTGTTCGCGCTGATTCTGCTGACGATGTGAATGAGTTTGCACTAAATGTGGTGCCTTTGTGGATGAATTAGAGATTTATGTTGACATTTCGTTTTGATTATGGAAACCAAGCTGCTGCTGAAAAGGCGGGAATGTGCAACTATAGCGGGGCTCTTGAAGATTTATGAATTAGAGGTTTATGTTTTGTTCAGATCTGTTGCGAGGTTGGGAATGGGCAACTATAGTGGGTCTCTTGAAGATGCAAAAAAAGCGTCGACATTAGCTCCTCAGTACACCGAGGTCAGTGAGTTTCTACTTCAGAAAAATTGATCGACATAGTTAAAGGCTTGAGGCATCTGTAACCTTAATTTTCTAACCATAAATCATTTCCCATTAGGGGCGCACAAGAGGCAGGCCTTAGGTGTAGACTAGGTCTCCCTGAAAAGGACACAATTTAGACTTTTTGTCAGTTGGGAGCTTGATCTCAGGAACAATTCTAAAACCTGAACCTATAGCCCCTTCTGATTTCACTGATAGGATGGAAAGGGGAAGGAGACAGGGCAAGTGCTGTTTATGTAATGAGATTCATATAATTTCATGCGGGTGCATGATTTTAAAGTCTACATTGTGTTAACTAGGAAAGAGTCTAGTCTGACCTGCATCTTGAGCAATCAGGACACAATCTCTTCTTCAGATTTTCTAAAACCTTTACCATTGAACCTTGCCCGTGATCTCAAGAAATGAGAGAATTTTCTTTCTTTATATACTCCATCAATATATAACCTTAAGATCACCAAATTTTGTGTTTTAGATATTAGAGACCTCGGTACATGCTTACATCAGTGGTGTGGACCAGAAATAGAGAGGGAGAGAGAGATCCTTGTATTGGTGAGAATTTTGGCTCATGTTATATTTCTAAAGTAAATGCTTTTTCCTTCCTCCAGGCTTATTTATGTCAGGGCGATGCGCTCATGGCAATGGAACAGTTTGATGAAGCTGAGAAGTTCTATTCCACAACCTTACGGATAGATCCCTCCATTCGTCGTTCCAGATCATTCAAGGTATTCTTTACGGAGTTTGACTAGTGCAGTTATTCTCTGGTTTTTCATATTGTCAGTTTATTGGTGTCAAATTCTTGTAAGCTCTCCTCTACAGTGTATGCTATGAGTGTATCTAGTTAAAGGGTGTATTTCTGCTATTAAGAATCATCTTTTGATGATATGAGTGTAATTCTTAGAGGTTTTTCTATTCTTTCATCATTATGATATGAGCACTGGTGATAGTTTTATGACTAAGTGTGTGTCCTTTAACAATTTTCTGTTGACATGAACACATTGAATTGAAATTTACTTGTAAAAGGCGTATTTATAATTTTGGCAATGATAAGTCCCTGAAAATTCAGATTAAAGGTCGCTGAAGGCTCATGTAAAGTGGAAAACTTATTTGTCTTATTTTGATGTGTTTTATCAAATTCTGTTTTACAAAAAAAGAAAATAATTATTGTCAGCGTGTCCTTAAGGATCCTTTTGGGCGCAAATATTTAGTTGAGCATTGACATTTCTGCAACAGATAACCTTTAACCGACAGATTCTCAAAGAAAATGTGTTTTTCATTGTTGTTATGAGGTAAAGGTGCACTTTTAGCTAATGTTGTTGGGTTTCTATAACAGTTCTAAGGGAAGATTCACTTCTTTCTTCTCAAACTATCTTTCTTTCTGAAGTCTCACCATGCCTTGAACCTTTGTCGGTGATGTTTAATATCTTTTGGCCAAACCACAAGGCTGAGGGGAAGCTGATGAAGGTTTTTTTTTTTGGTAAGGAGGGGAAGCTGATGAAGGTTTACTTCTTCAATTTTGAAGAATGAGGATAAGCTTCTTCTTTGGAGTGGCTTAAGTGATGGAAACTTTAGTTTATTATTAAAAATTTATCCACGTGTACTGCTGCAATTTCTCATGTCTGGAGTACTGTTGAGATTACTGTTGGGATGCAGTGACAACTTTTGATTCTTCTCTCTTCTTTTTCTTTACCTTTCCTTTTTCCTTTTTCCACAGGATCGAGTTGAAAGGCTGCAACAGAAATTAGCTGCTGCAGATATCTCTTGAAGATTGGCTCTGGAGTTGTAAGTACCAAGTTAATGTGAAGTAACCAAAATAATATGTTTCGTTACAGGTTTGTTATTCCTTGCTGTTAAGAGAAAAAACTGAACTGAATGCTTAGTTAGGTCTATGTGACCCCAAGCTATCTATTTATAATAAAGTCAAAAGGCCAAAATTACAATATTACCCTTATTGCCGCAATACGTAAAATAATAAAGGAAATAAACAAATATGCCCTATTAGCCAAGTACTCTCAACACTCCCCCTCAAGTTGGAGCATAGATATCACACATGCCCAACTTGACTAAAACAAGATGAAACGATTTACTCCTCAATCCTTTAGTCAACACATCAGCAAGTTGATCACCGGACTGAACAAAGGGCATACAAATTAAGCCACTCTTCAACTTCTCTTTGATAAAGTGTCTGTCAATCTTCACATGTTTTGTACGATCATGTTGTACAGGATTGTGAGCAATACTAATGGCTGCTTTATTATCACAATATAGCATCATAGGAAGATACACCAAGATCTTCAAGTAATCCTTTAAGCTATAAAAGTTCACAAACTCCATGTGCCATTGCACGGAATTCTGCTTCAGCACTAGATCGAGCAATCACATTATGCTTTTTACTGCGCCAAGTCACAAGATTCCCTCCTAAGAAAGTACAATACCCAGAAATAGACTTTCGGTCAGGAGATCCAGCCCAATCAGCATCTGTATAGGCTTCAACTTTCAAGCCATCATGAGGAGATAAAAGAATCCCTTTTCCAGGAGCAGACTTCAAATATTGAAGGATTCGAAGAACAACATCCATATGAGTAGAGTATGGATCATGCATAAACTGACTCACTAGGCTCACAGCAAAAGCAATATCAGGTCTGGTGTGGGATAAATAAATCAACTTGCCCACTAACCGTTGGTAACGACCCTTATCTACGAGATCACCATCCTTTTCTCGAAGACGAGTATTGACCTCAATAGGTGTATCAGAGGGACGACATCCTAATAACCCAACTTCTGTTAAAAGATCAAGGACATACTTCCTTTGGGATAAAACGATACCTTTTGAAGATCTGGCAACTTCAATCCCAAGAAAGTATCAGAGCTTTCCAAGATCCTTTATTTTGAACTCTTGTCCAAGAAAATTCTTCAACTGGCTTATCTCATCAGTATCATTCCCTGTGACAATAATGTCGTCTACATAGACAATAAGAATAGTCGCTTTAGCACCTGATCTCTTCACAAACAAAGTATGATCAGCATTACTCTGTTTATACCCAACAAAAATCATAGCTTTCTGAAATCTACCAAACCAAGCTCGAGGTGATTGCTTTAAATCATAAAATGCACATTTCAGCTTACACACTTTACCTCGGGTTTTGTCACAAGAAAAACCCGGAGGAATCTCCATATATACCTCCTCTTCTAACTCTCTATGAAGAAAGCATTCTTCACATCTAACTGCTGAAGATCCCATCCCTGGTTTACAGCACACGAAAGTAACACTCGAACAGTATTCAACTTGGCAACAGGAGCAAAGGTTTCTTGATAGTCAATCTCATAAGTCTGAGTAAATCCCTTTGCCACCAACCATGCTTTATATCTGTCCACAGTATCGTCCATCTTCTGTTTGACTACAAACACTCACTTACATCCTACCGGTTGTTTCCCAGGAGGAAGAACAACAAGATCCCACATGTCATTTTTCTTCAAAGCATGCATTTCCTCCACCATTGCTGTCTTCCACTTCTCATCTGCAAAAGCTTCTTGCCAATTCCGTGGAATAAAAACAGAAGATAGAGAAGATACAAAAGTACGATAAGAGTTGGACAAAGAGTCATATGAAACAACATTGGATATAGGGTGTTGAGTACAAGTTCTAATATCCTTTCGGAGTGCAATAGAAAGATTAGAAGGAGAAACCTCACCAAAAGGAGTAGTAGAATCCGAATCCGAAGATAATGACTAAATAAGCAATATATCAGTGGTCTTATCCTGCGTGTTGGTAGTGGAATTTCTACGACGATATGTCTTCAATGTTTCCTCACTATCAATCCGCCTTTGAAAGATACCAATACTTTGCTTAACAGGTATGGTCTTCCCCTGAACCTCTGATATCTCCCCCTGAGGTATTGTATTATTCTCTACTTGTGTTGCATCGTTCTCCTCTTGAGAAGGAGTAGATCCATCAGAGACTATTGGAGGAGGAGGAGAAGGAGAAGAGTAAGTAATATCCTCAGGAACATCTAAAATTGGCAACACCTTTATACTAGGACACTCCCCCTGAAGAGGTGGAACTGAATAATAAGAAGTAGACTCATGAAAAATTACATCCATAGATATAATACTGCGCCTAGAAGGAGGATGATAACACTTATAACCCTTTTGAGTAGCTGAATACCCAAGAAATATGCAGCGGAGATCGCGGGGTTCCAACGTACTCTTAGAGGAAGTGCTACGAGCATAACAAACACAACAAAAAATTTTTGGGGGAAGAATAAAAGTTGATGATCCTTATAAAACATCAATAGGTGTGCGGAAATCAAGAATTCTAGTCGGCATCCGATTGATTAAATAGGCAACGGTTAAAATAGCATCACTCCAATACTGAGAGGGGACATGACGTGCAAACATAAGAGACCTGGTGACTTCTAACAAATGTCGGTTTTTTCTTTCGGCAACACCATTTTGTGCTGGGGTATTAACACAACTGGTCTGATGAATAATGTCATGATCAAAGAGATACCGTTGAAACGGACCTTCAGTGTACTCAGTGCCATTCTTCACAGTGGCGTCGAATTGAGTTTGAATCATTTTGTGAAAAATTTGAAAATGACGAAAAACGTCACTCTTATGTTTTAACAAATAAACCCAAGTTGCATGAGAATGACAATCGATAAAAGTAACAAATCATCGATGACTAGAAATAGAAGTACGTCGGGAAGGACCCCACACATTAGTATGAATCACAAGAAAAGGGAAATGACTTTTATTATTTGAAGATGAATATGTAGAACGAGTTTGTTTAGCAAAGACACAAGCTTCACAAAAAAACTCATCTTTATTACAAGCTGAAACGAGACTCGGGAAAACTTTTTCTAAAGTTCCTAAAGGAGGATGACCTAATCTGCAGTGCCACCGATGGACATCTGTCAATGTTGAATTAACTTGACGGGGCATAGTAGACGAAATAGAAGTAGAAACCCCACTACCCTCGAGCAGATAAAGACCACTATCCAATCTACCATATCCAATCTCCTTCTCCGTTACCAGATCCTGGAAAATACAGTAAGAAAGAAAAAAAGTTACTTTACAATTTAAGTCTCGAGTCAAACTACTAATAGAAAGGAGATTAGTAGAGAATGATGGAATATGTAAAACAGAAGACAAGGAGAGTGTGGAGGAACAATTGATAGTCCCTTTTCGAGCGATGGAAGAGAGGGTTCCATCAGCTACACGAACTTTGGCTCTATCGGAAGTAGGGGTGTATTGATGAAAGAGACTAGAAGAACCTGTTGTATGATCTGTAGCCCCTGTATCAATTATCCATGGGCTGGAAACAACAGATGTATTAACCCCAAAAAAGATACCTGAAGTGGCTAGATTTGAAGCAAAATGGGAAGACGAATTGGCAACTGTGGAGGAAGTGGCAGTAGTAGAAGCTTTCAGTAAACGTCGAAATGCTTGAAGTTCTTCTTGGGATAAACCGATATCAGTAGTAGGTGTACCAGTAACAGCTTCAGTATGGTTTGCTTTGTTTTTTGCCTTTCTTTGTGCCTTTTTTTCCTTAAAATCTGCAGGTTTTCCATGTAACTTCCAGCGGGTAACCTTAGTATAATAAGGCCTATGACAATATTCACACTTCACAACTTCCTTAGGGGTATCATTAAATCGAGAGAACACTGATTTGAAGAGCAGATCGATCAATAGTAGAGGAGTGGAGCATTGCTGTCCTACAGCTTTCTTCTGAGTGAACTAGGCATAGAACTGTTCCAGAGTGGAGAATGGAGACCGGCTAAGGACTTGAACACGTATCTGATCATATTCAACATTCAATCCTGCCAAAAAATCATAAACTCTGATCTTGTCCACATGGTTCTTGTAGGCAGCAATGTCTGTAGCATTGGTTGGTTGATAATTGGTATAATGATCTAGCTCTTGCCACAAACTCTGAAGCTCAACATAATATTGAGATATAGTCATCTCCTTCTGAGAAGTGTCATGAACCCTTTTTCGAAGTTCATACACCTGTGCAGATTTGACTATAAGTATCCCTAGCAGCCGACCAAATCTACGCCGCGGTGTCAAGAAGCAAATATCCTTTTGCAATATGTGGCTGTATCGAGTTAAGCAAAAAAGACATTACCAAAGAGTCATTCGAGATCCACTTGTCTTGAGCAGCACCTGATGTTTCCGGCTTCACAGAAGTGCCGTTGATATGACTTGTAAGCCCACGGCCTGCAATGGTCAAGAATACAGATCGAGACCATATCAAATAATTTGTGCCGTCAAGCTTCACAGAGATCGTAGCAAACGTAATATAATCTGTACGGCCATCTCCTGTAAGTGGAGGGTTCTCAACTGAACCGTTAGACATTGTGTCACTGGTAGTAGGCTAGGATTATCCTCCAAAAAAATCAGCTAGATTAGATGAAGAAAAAAATTGATTTTTTCAAGGTTTTGAAAACTTGAAAAAAATCGATAATTCTAATTTATCTCAAAGAATCTGAAAAAATATGGTGGTCCACAAACTGCAGTGCTTTGGTCTTCACACACGAGAGCATTGTAGGCCAGCGGCAACGCAGAAACAATTCCAGACAAGAAGATCCAAAAAATCGCAAAAGAAGTTAAATCACCTATCGCAGACTGCAAAGAATTTTTAGTTCTCTCATAGAGGTGAAGTTTAGGGCAAACACTAGATTCAAAGAATCACCTCATTAGCGCTACCCTACACTGTGAAAGAGAGCAAAGGAGAGATGAGAAGGAAGGTTAGGGTTTCAGTTCAGATCTTACTCTAATACCATGTTGAGAGAAAAAACTGAACTGAATGCTTGGTTAGGTCTATTTGACCCCAAGCTATCTATTTATAATAAAGCCAAAAAACCAAAATTACAATGTTACCCTTATTGCTGCAATATGTAAAATAATTTGTTTTTACGATAATCTCTTCTTGTGTAAATGTTGCTTCACTTTACTGCTGGTTTGAGAACTGAGATCCTATTTTTTAGTCCTCATTGATGTGCAGGATTGGGCACGCGTTGGTATGATTGGGTACATACACAATTGATATAGGTTATACACTTAAAATGAGTTCTACATTATCTGTTCTGTTGCATACCCCCCCTCCCTTTTTTATCAAGAAATAGATGACAGGCAAGTGCTAGAGAGATTCAATTGACTATTTTATTCCTAATAAATAATCTAGACAATAGGTATATAAGACAAAGCAGTTAACTTTCATGTACATTACCTTATGTAAACACCTAATTAAGTTGCTTTCATGAGAGAGGTGACTGGAAGGTCCCTTGAATTCTCATGTTCGTGGTGCAGTGCTAAAATGATCATAGGCTCTCCAGCAAAAGCAAGGCCCTCATGCATGAGTAGGTTTTTCTGCATAATTAGTATCATGATAAGTGGAGAGCACGCTTGTGCTTATGCTTTGCACTCCTTTTCTTTTTGAGAACATTCTAGGTCTACCAAAGAAGCATCCAGCGTTAACTTGCTATTCCAAAGTTCAGGGATAGAATTTGTGTGAGCATCTGCCCATTGCCACTTCTGTGAGTGGAGCTTGCTTTTCTTGTAAGCGGACACACTAAAGATGGAAAAGCTTTTGGGCTATCGAGTTTGTGTTGTGACCGTATTAAGTTCAGCCGGTGGAGAGAGCAGGTTTCATCCCCCATGCCAAGATGGAATTATAGCAGAGAGTAGAAAGACTACCTGTCGCTGATATTCATACAAGGTAGATAGCAATTTGTAAGTTATGCCGTTATTGGTATATAAGATTGATTAAGTGTTTGACTTGCAGAATCATTCTGACTATATTGATTGATAATCAACAACATTTGCTGTTGCAAGTCCATCATCCATGTCTTTACTTTCACTCTGGAACTTCACTCTGGTGTCGTCCGTATATGACTTCTGATTGTTTCTGATAATGACGGATTTGGCAAGCCACTAGGCGGACACGTGTCCGTACTGACCCTGTCTGGTGAGTGTACTCCTACTCGACGGGAATGACTAAGAAACGATGCAACTCGGGTTTTGAGTCTAGACCGGTCAAACCTGGGAGGGAGTACATTGACAAGACCTCTACTTATGAGCTATCATGTTGGAGGAATTATCAGCGAAACCTCTACCTAAAAGACCAAGCATCTATTGGTACCGTGGACGGTTTGACTGTCGAGACACATCACAGTTGTCATGATGTATTGCCATTCGTTATGACCAACTTACGCTCATCACAATTTAGTCATCATCCGTCGACCTTAACCCGACGGGCGAAGACTCTTTACCCCTATCTAAGCTTCATACGTTTCCGCCATCCTCCAAACGTTAACTTAAGCGTCCGAGGTCCATTCTGGGTGATCAACTGGATGCCCAAACTTGTCTTCGTGGCTGCAGCTCCAATTGGTGGTGGAAGCATTAACAGATCCTTGGACATTTACACTTAACAGCTAGAGCTAGCTATACGAAAAGAATCCAAACGCAAAATCTTCATCGAATCAAATAAACAGCAATCAATCATTTAAGATTGGCGAGATCCTCATTAACAACGTGGATAGTTACTAATTTCACTGTCCATGATGATTTGCTTATTTATTGTGTACTTGAAATGTGTAGCGTAGAGATTTAGATAATACAATTAAATTATTCCACTCTTTCATGCGACCATGGTTCTTGTAGAATTCTTTTTCAGGTCTGTGAATCTAATGTAAGGCCTAGTGTATAGAAAAAGAAGAAAAGTAGTTGACCACACTTAAGGATTTAATATATTTTCAAACCCTTCATTGCTTTTCCTTGTTCAAAGTTCCAACCGTATGTTTTGCGTCCGCTCTACTTTGTTTTTGTGTGGAACAGACATGATTCCTTAAGTGTGGCAATACAAAAAAAAATCGTCATTATTAGGTGTAAAATTCGAACCATCGAAAGTACAAATTAAAATTTCAGTACAAGTTTACTTCCAATGGCCTAACAATTTCATGTTTTTTAAATGAATTGCTGACTTTTTGTACCAACCGTATCTATCGCACTAGATCCGCGTACTCATAATCTATACATTTTGCGGCATCATGAAAACTACTTGAGCTTCGACTGGGTTGGTGCATCCATGTCACATCTCAATACTCTACGGTCAATATCAAGAGCAAGAAAGTACCTCTTATAAAATATGACATCCCAAATATAATATCCGAGGCCGGGGCAATTCACTGCTATCCACCCCCTATTGCCAGGTTTCCAAAGCTCTAATCCTTCAGACAAAGGTGTTGCGAGCATAGTCCTAACAACTCCGGTGGGAGATCTGTCCAGTTTCTCGTCATTCTCAACTTTATTGAATTGATATGAAGCAGAATTTCACAAGGGGAGATAGAGTATCAGTTTCGAGATGACCTTAATTGTTAACCGCAAAAGTTGTTACTTGCTAATCGTAAAAAAGGATAAGACTCTCGGTCCAAATAGGAATCCAAATTCTAACTGGAAAAGGAGACAAAATATTCGTTTGAATTATGTTTATTAGATTAGAATTATCTAATCTACAACCCCTTCCACTTCCCTTCGCCTAACTTAGAAACATTACCTTTTTTTTGGTAAGGTAGAAACATTACCTTTTACACCGATTAGATAAGAAAAAAAGGTTAATAATTTTACTAATCTGATGTTAGTATCACTAAAAGAATACTTTGAAATTGATTCACGTAATAGAGGAGATTACCAATTAATTATGTATGTTGGATAATAAGTAATAAGCTAATTATATAAGTTGACTAGTAAGAAAACAAAACGTGAAATCTTTTATTATGAAAGATAAAGAGATACACATTCCTATTTCTCAAATATATATGAAATTGAGTTTGTGAGTAAATGCTGTTTGGTTATTACTAAGTAATTGCCAATTACTTGCAAGTCACAACCTTTTCATACACCATAGAGTACTTATCCTTCTTACTTTCTGGTCAATTATTAAGTTCCGAGAATTGATTTAGTGAACCATGCCATGAAGCAACCGCTCGCATTCCTGCCTATAACTAAGTATTTACGCTTGAAGAGGCAAAGTTTTCTACGTGAACAGAGCGTTAATCTTTTCTATCATAAGCTGATTCTGCATGACAAGGCATCGTCAAAGTAAGAATAAACGACCTTCCACGTACCATAGCCAACAACAACATAAACCCGGGACGTGGTGAGACTGTAGGTAACAACAAAAGACTGTGAAAAGGGATAAGAATGGATTCATTTTTTTTCGAGGGAAGATACCACAATCGAAACCCACGTTTTTTTTTGGTCGAGTAATCGAAACCCACGTTACGTGGAGCCGAATGTAAGTTATCCCGAGTCGTCAGTAAGCCAGACATCATCTTTTTCTCCTAAGTACCCGTCGTCGACAGGGAGCTATACTAAAAGGTATATATTGAAGGATCCACCGTGTTAGCCATGTCCAGCGTGACGATTTTGTATTTAAACATGCTGGACTGCAAAATGAAGGAAGCGGAAAGAATATAATCAATCATATATTAATTCATGTAAATTGCAAGAATCTATCTTCAACGATTCCTTCTATGGGATAGTCTAATCGGATAGCATGAGAAAACCGAATTCAAAAAATGTGCTGTGTGGGCACCATGGTGATGCATGACGACTTACTGATCAATCAAGTATGGATGTGCACAAACTAGAAGATTGCAAAAAGGAATACCTTCTGCCTAAAAAACACGTTCACTCACTGCTGTACCTCCTACTTCTGATGATTTGGTTTGCAAAACATATAAAGAGAGATGCAAATTTTGTTTCATACCATCCGCAGAAGATGTGTCCCTTGTCCGACTGATAATCCTTTGACTTCCATGTGGACAACCAGCACTACCCTTTTGAAGATTAAGCTCCTGGAAAGACAAAAGAAGAGATCAGGTTTGATAAACTCGATCACTTCAGCTAAAACCAGATTAGATTTGCTCAGCTCTTTCTTTAAAGTCTATCTGACTAACACAACTTCAACACACGTATTTAAAAGATCTGATTCATGCACATGAAATCTTGGAGATAGTTCTCGACTCCCGTGTTCTCAAGTTCAAAGGAGAATAAAACAAACCATCGCAAGCAAGATCCATTGGCAAAGCCTGGAATTCTTACATTCAAATTTTGCCCAGCTTGGAGGAGTTTTGGAACTACGGTCTTGTTGTGACTGACGAGAGTAGAGCAGGCTGAAGAGATCCACTTTTCCGTCAATCGGTTTTATGGATGTATCAGACTCGCTCAATGGGGGTAACTTGGCCGCTCCATTGTCCTCCATATCTAATGAAAACTGCACCGAGGAAATTAAGGGCAAGAAGTAAGATAAGTCTTGGGGCTAGTAAGCTAGTCAAAATGTGGATCTCAACATACAATGAAGAAACTAGAAATGGAACCTTTCACATTGGTTAATATCATCATTTGGCTAGTTTGGTGAGAATTGCCATGTAACTGCCGGACAGACTTATCATTTATATCCACCATAAGATACAGCTCTTACTTAACAGATGATTGTAGTCCATCTCTATTTTCAGTTTGATATTCAAAACGCGTACTGGAATGATGCAAAATCTAAGAAAATCGCAAGAAAGTACACTGGAAGGCACAAAACATAGAGGAGAGGAAGAGAAGTTGGGCGCGAACTGATCCACCAAGTCAGCTTATTGAATGCGGAAAATTCAGAAAAGAGTTAGATTATATCAGGAACAGGACCAAAGAATGAAGAGAAGAATATACTTTGTGTAATTAAATTGAGTATTCTTCTTGGCCTGCTAAGACATGTTTTTTTTTCCCTACACAAGTTGAGATACATCAGTTTGATTGGGGATTTGAACCCAGTTTCGTTCCCCCTTACCCCGTTGACCACTGGGCCGTGTGCCCAAGGTCAGGTGAAAAATAGTTTATAGGCAATAAGAAAGAAGCACGCAAGGTGTTACTGTCAATGAAAAACTAGCATATGAATCTCTTCAAGAAGATGCTAAGAGGAATTTGAAGCTACCCCTCGCTGCCTTGTTGGAGGTGGAGCTGCTGGTGCCGCGTGCGAGGTGAGAATTTCTTCTTCCAGAGAAAAGTTTCTCATCTTCTTTGGCATGCAAGCTTTTGATTCACCTTCAACAGGCTCATTGGGGACGTGGCACAAATTGATGTCTTCAAAACCTGGCTGAGGTGCATCTTTTGCAACCCATCTTTTCTCCTCGTACCTTATAACAAGCAAGCAGGTTGTAAACAAAACAGACACGGGAAATCATATCATTTTGTTAAATTAATCATAAGGCAGAGCAGGATATTTACTTGGTTTGAATGAATTTCTGAATTTCACTTCTGTCATAATCTGGTGGAAGTTCTGCTTCCCAGTATTTGTTGGACCTCTTGTTTCCCATACCTTTCGCAGTAGTTCACAATATACAGAGTTATAAATATTTGTGTATATAAAGCAAAAGAAAATCAAAACATATTATACCAATATGATACCAATAATATGGAAAGCAACTTAACTGCACAATTAAATCAGAAATACTAGACTAAACCACAGAGAAAGATTAAGGACAAATAGAACTAGTCTGTAGATATGATTTACTTAATGAAGAATATAGAAGGGTTATTTACAAGCTAGCAACAAGAAAAGACGCATTTCACTGACTGTTTGAATTGTAAAAAGTAATGGCCCATTTCATTTTTACTGTTGCTCCTTGGGAAGAAAATCACGTCATTGTGCTGCTATCCATATTTTCTCAAGTTTGACGGGAGGACTCCGACTATGTCATAGAATACATCGAAAAACTGAGTTGATGGCAAATTTTCTTACACTGCATAAAAGCAACCTGTTCTGGTAGCCATGTATCCAAAGTAGTTGATCTGACCTACTTACAAAGAAAAATCAAGCCCATTATCGGATATCATGCAGTAGCCAGACAGAAGAGATGATTAGGATAAGAATAGTAACAATAGCATGACAATGAAAATCTCTGTATATGTCCAGAGTTTGAGGTTGCAGTGTATAACCACGTTCAAGCTCCACATGAAGAGATAAGGGTTTGAGGAGAATCAAAGAGGAGGTAAAAATATTTCATATCCTAATCGTAATTTTCTTTTTTAAATGGACTCCTAGAAGTATACAGATCTGGAATTCAGTAGCATTGGTTCAAATCCTGAAGGATTACTGCTTAATACAAGATACTTGGCATGTGGAGGAAAAACCACTCAAACTTGAAACTCAATAGACAAGTACCAGCATTTCGACAGCAATGTCCACAAAACACACAGGAATCATCAGTGTGTTAAAACCTTGTAACAAAGGGGTCTGACTGAGGCTCATTTTCTAAATTTCAGTGCATTCTGTTCAAAGTGACTAAATACAAACAACAAACAGCTTATAAAGCACCCGGAATAGCAAATGCACAAAGCTTTACAACTATATGACAAGAATGTAACTAATAATGACTACAGTGTTACTTCCCTAATGTTAGGGATGCATTTCCTGAAGCTAGGAGTTTCAGAAAGTGATGACTTGGTTCTATACAGACAAGACGGAAGGGAACTAAGGTACTGCAAAAGAAAGTGCACAGGACACCAAATTCCTATCATGAGAGGAGAAGCAACCACATCAAAACCGTCTGGCATAACCCCATGTAGATTCTAACCACCTTGAAATCTAATACAGTAAACAGCAACTTAATTAAAAAAAACAGAAAAAAAAAACGGCAAGCTTGCTTCTGTCGTCCATCCTAGGGTGGTTTGAGATTTCTTTGTTATTCTTCAAAGGCGTTGTTTGTTGAACTAGAGCATATTATCAAGAAAGCACATTAGTGAAAAAGAATGGGAGGATAGTACCTTTGAGATATGTACTCCAAGACTCCGATGGATCCCGGAACATTGCATGCATATAAAAATTCCTAGATTCACACTTGCCCATCGGGGAGCCCTAAAAAGAGTTTTAGTTCATTAAGAACAAAAGAGGTATTTTAAAAGTATTTGATATATGTATCATACAAACTAGAATTTCACAGCTTAGAATGTGAAGTAAAATGAGGACGTGTGGCGAACTTAGCGAAATGAGTAGACAGCTTATGCCCGAAAGAAACTAAGCAGATTGCTAGGTCAAAAAGATATTGGATAAAATGAATTTCTCTGCACATATCAACTATATCTACGACTGATGGGAAAAAGAATACAAGAAGCAAAAGCTCGAACCTGCGAAATCGAGTACAATGTATCCGATGTCATTAAATTTGGTTCCATCTAATAGACCAGTGAGAGAGATGTTCAAACAAATAGACAAGAATAAAGCTGTCCATTTAATGTGAGCAATTTCATCAGAGGAGAGTTCTATATAGGTCCATCTAATGTCAGAGCATTTGAGATGCTTCATCAAAATAGCTCTTCAGGAAAAGCCCTAATTAAGGTACCCCAAAGCTACTAACATGAGGTTGCAAATATCTCCCTCTTCGAGCAGCTTTGCCCAGCTAGAAATCCAATTTACATCAACAAGTATAATCTATCTATCGAAGCTAGGTTTGGGAGTCAACCGCAAAGATCCCCCTGGAACATGTAATATGTTGTACGCAAGCAACCAACATGACCGAATTTTCTCATGCAGAGGCAATGGAAGCTCCAGCAGTGCATTCATTTTCATCCAAACAATCCTCTAGGTGAAACGAGAGAAAAAATGCTTCATGTGTTTCAAAAAGTAGTCCTGAGTTGAGACTGAATACATTGATGAAAGCAAAGCAATTTGTACTATCAAGGAATTAAAAGCACGCATAAAGATAATGCAACAATTTCCATCTGAATGCCGTCTAGCTCTAGAAAGAAGTCCACGCACCATGGTTTTTTTTTGGTAAGGTAAGAGGATTATATACTTTTCAATTCACAAGATACAGCAGAAAAGCCGTACACAAAAACCTCGTACCTAACGCAACACAGGTGTTGCGATAGTTGCAAAGGTGTAGCGGCTGACTAAAGCTAGCGGGCGCTACAAGCTGCAGGGGCCCGGGAGATAAGAAGAACGAGCTGAGCCTCTAACAAGCGGACTAAAGAGCCACAAAGGAACAACAACTACAGAACATTAAGAAAAATAGATGTCCACACACCATGGTTTCAACCTTATGGAATTGAAAACCTTGATACTAGTTCAAATTGGTAATCTGGGAATTCATAAGCTGTTATGTGCTAAATATGCACATCAACATATTAAGATGATTATGCAATTTTCCTGAGTTTCAAGTAAACTTAAAGACCATAGATTCAATTCTTTATTAGTGGAAATCATCTGACATAGGCATCACAGTTGATATTGATTGTATGACATGCTCTAGCAATCTGCACAAATCTTATGATATACTATATATCACAGTTGATATTGATCATATGACACACTTGCTCTGGCAATCTGCGCACTCCCTATTTTCTGGAAGTTTGAGAAGACTCTCGAGTATCTGCATGTGACAATCAAGAAATAATATTATCAGTTGGCGATCAACTGAGCAGAGTCTAACACCATCTCTATAGCTGCACAAAAAGTAGACCAAGTCCATAGAAACTAAGCTGTTCAAATATAATTCATGGATCCACAGTTCATGTGCAATAAGCCTGGTAAGAAAGCTAAAAGCTGTCGATTGGTCCAGGGCAACAAATCCTTTTAATTGAAGATAACGCCGAATTTGATAACATGATCTCATTTCTCCTTTATAAGGATCGAGTATACCCTTCTTTTGATCCTCTAACTTCCAGGAAAAAATTATCTGAGTATGCAGTTGATGGGCCAGTAGGAGGCCTTTTTCATTCCCTTTCTTGAAGAGAAGTCTGATAGCCATGTCATGAAGAGCAAATCTTGGAAGTCGTATCATCAGATAGCAAAGAGTAGTTGTCAACAGAACTTAAGGAAACCACAAATAACACTAGCTGATAAAAGACTAGAATTGATCACTTCCTCGACACCCCCACACTCAAAAGCTACTGTACCACAGACACATGACATCCACGATAATAGAATGCTGACAGCAATGACACCCCTGACTTCCTTAGCAACTTAAGTTCAACTGAGATGTATCTTATCTAGCAGAAGTGATTCTGTGTTTCCTCGCTCTTTATGTTTTACAGGATCTCGTAATCACAAAACAAGCATCAGCGACTCCAATCAGGCATATGCCTCCAAACTAACCCAGGAGAAGCCATAGTTGTTTTGGAGCTTCCCAAATGTTGAACTCGAAATCGGAAGCACAGGAAATATTTCCAGCCTTTTTAAGCCACTAAACCTAGCTCCCGAGACTAGATGGAACAAATCGAAACAAGCGAGCACATTTCGGCTAGCAGGAAATTGGACGTCTGATTGCTATCCTAGGTAACTATGTAAATCAAGAATGATAACGACCGAGATCCATTATACATTTTGGCCCGCGACAAACTCTAGCGTCTTGGACTAAAAAACAAGCATTGGGACAAAAGACAACCTACATTACATTTCATCTCGTGATCGAAAGAATCGCGGAGAAGCGACAATGCCGATAAAATTTGGGCTTGGACTATTCTTGTGGCTTGTTCCATGCAGTCATTTTAACACGATACAACATCTTTAGACGAAAATTATTAACATGATGAATCGTACTAGCAAATCGAAGGTTTTTTCGCCATTTTCTCCCAAAGCGACAGCCTCTCTCTCACCAAAGTACAATGGTCGGCCTCGGCAACGGTTTGAAAACACGTGCAGTTGCTCCGGTTGAAAACCGGCGCGAAAGACGAAAACCGTAAGAAAGCAACGGAACCCAAAACCAGGGGGGGTTAATGGACCTTGGTGTGCCTGGCGTGGAGGTCCTTGGTGACCAATGCCTTGTCGTTCATCGTTCGTTTTGGTCGTCCGGGCTCGCGGCACGCGCTTCGGCGATCGGATCCAATCACTCACGAAAAGGAAAGGCAAACGAGGAGATCGAGACTCATCTCCTGGCAAGAGAGGAGGATGATGAGGGGGAGGAGGAGGAGCGAGGGAGATTGAACTGGATCCCCCCACAGAAAGAGGAGGAGAGAGAAATGGGGTTAGAGAGAGAGAGAGAGAGTCTCTGTGGATGAACAGAATGCCCTGGAAAGGAGACGGTTGAGAGTGTCCTGGAATGGAGGTGGCCCTGCCAGCTCGTGCTATCTCCATCATCCTCCCTAGCGAGGCTGACGCGTCGTTTTGGCGGGAGCCTCCATGGTCAAATCTTTCTCTCTCTCTCTTCTTCTTCTTCTCCGATGTCAAAAGTCAAATAAAATACATTTTCTTGAAAATCGAATGTTTGGTTTGAACTTTACATGACTATTTCGCACCACTCGCTGTCGAAAAACCCGAAGTCTGACAAGCCTATCACCGTAGCTCCATCAAAAGGATAGCAACCACGAAGTCTCCCCTTACGAGCTAGATCATGATTCAAACTCGTCATACTCTTGGGAGACAGGTGACCCCACTAAACCAACCACCTTGACGAGAACTGATTGATATGCGTAAGAAGACATCGATAAAGGCAACATTTGAGACACTAGTTTGTTTTGGCTTATATTAAACAAAAGTTTACTCGTTCATTTTTTCGTCAAAACTTTGATATATTCCCAATAAGATTTGTCAAGATAGATCATAAATTCATTTTTTAATCGATATTTGATGAATTGAGTTGTTATATGGATTCCTTATATTCAGTAAATGAATTTAGAATGGTAAAACCCAAAATAAAATAGGTGTTAAATGGGTTCACAATTTACGTAAATCCAACTCATTTTTATAACTCTCTCTTCATTTTCTCTTACTCTCACTCTATCTCGCGCTCGCTTACTTCACACTCTTATCTTGATTTTAAGTATGAGTTTTCATAGAATGAGTCAAATATGGAAATGCTTTAGTAATATGAGTCGGATTGGGTATTGATGGAATATGGATCGAGTATGAGTCACTAGATTTGTATTATATATAAATTGATCAAAATGAGTTAAGTGGGTCAATTTAAGTTGGACCATTTTTTACTCGACCCGAACCATTTGTTTTGACGAGTCTATTCCCAATAAAATTCACACCTGTAGAAAATGGTTGTGTTTTCTTCCATCATCTCAAGTTGAAGGAAACCTTTTTTTTTTTTTCAGTTAATTTTATGATTGATGGATTACAAAGAACAAACATCATCCATGCTTATTATAAGTTGAGGTTGAATGTAGATGACATTCATATTTGTTACCCACAATCATCCGATATTTAGAATAGTTTCGGAAAAAATTACGCTATCTAAAGATAGTATAACTTTTATGGATAAGAGAGAATATATTAGAAAAATCACACTCTAAAACAAAATAAATAATATAATATATTATAGAGATCGGAAAAGGAGAGAGTGCCCATGAACGATGGTGACATGGCACCCGCCGGCTGTGATGGTCGAGACGGTCTTTGTGCGTGTGTGTGCGCCACCACAATGTGATAGGTTGCCTAGAAAACCCTAGGGCTGCGTTTGGTCGATCGGATAAAAGCCAGGATAGGATATGTTTTATCCTATCCTGTGTTTGGTGGTGGTCCAGGATAGGATAAGGTCGGATATAGACTGGATATAGCCCGGATAAAAAAATCCGAGGGGGGGTGGGATAGACCTGAATAGAGTTTCTAATGCCTATTTTTCCAAAAACCCCACACTCCACTTGCCGTCATCTTCATTCCCACACCTTGTGCGCTTTCACCAAAAAATTTTCTCGGCTTTTTTTCCTTCACCGACTCCTCCGGACCCGTGAATAGCAAAAAATAAAAATAAAAAATTATCCTGTCCGACTTTAAATCCGTAGTCCACCAAATAGTGGATAGGATATGAAGAAATCCCAAGATTTCTTATCCTATTCTATCCAGTCCTATCCTGTTTAGAAATTCGGACAATCAAACGCAGCCTAGATGACCATGACCATTGGCATGGTGTTTGTCACCACAACTTGTTGGGGTGGTCCAAGGGGTGGTCACCACCGTTGTAACCGATGGAAAATGCCAAGTTTTAAGATATAACAAGTGTTTACTTGACAGCTCGGAAAGAGGGAGTCAGCTAGCCCTCCTTGGATTCATCATCGATAGCGGTGGTTACCTAAATGAGTCAGTGATCGAGTGATCATAAAACACGATGTTCAATCTCATATAGATTCCATCATATCGCATCCAATCAAATAATCCAGATAATAAAACGCGTCCTTATGTACATGCCAAACAATTAACATAGTTGGTTTTGATGTCATGATTTTACCGATCCTCTATATACCAAGAATCCATATGTCCTAAACTTTTGATTTCTCGTTATCATGAAAGCACTCGTTAAGCGGAATTCAGAATTCTTTCGCGGATAATAGCATGGAAGAACCTATGAAGATATGAATAATTGTGACAGAACAACCAAAAAAATAAATAGATCGAGAGATTTTGGGAAAATAAAATATTAAAAAATGGAAAGTGCGGTGAGCGTGGATCGAACACGCGACCTTCAGATCTTCAGTCTGACGCTCTCCCAACTGAGCTATCCCCGCTTGACAATACTTCATGCACATTTAATTAAATTTAAATATTATATTATAGCGCGAATTCAACCATGAAAATAATTCCTAAACAAATGAAAATCATATAGGAGTAGAGTACAGCTACCCTTCTTATGGCTTTGGTTATATTTGGAGACTTTTTCAACTTACACCAACTATGGACAATTTTTTCCATATATATATATCAACAAGTTTAGTTACAAATCAACTTAAATATGGAACTTTGATTTGTTTCCACTATACAGAAAACCATTAATAAGTCTACTAAGGAACACGAAGTTTATACTAAGTGCTAACCTACAATTAAGTTCGTCCAATGCTGAACATAAATAAACAGAATAAACACAAACTTTGGGATAAAAAGAAGAAGTTATTCTCTCCGTGTTCGTTTAGAAAAAAAGAAGTGATAAATGGTGAGATTATCCATCGTACGAGTGTCTTTCTCGTAAAGTCATAATCAAACCGATTTATGCAAAAGAGTCTTATCCGTAAAAAAAAAAAAGAAACCAATCCTTCTTTTTTTAAATTATATATCCAGTACAAATTATCAATACCTTTAAACGGATGATCCGATAACAGAAAAAACTCGATCTAATTAATTAAACTCGACTCCGTCTCCATATGGAATGTATCCAAAATCAAAGTCTTTATCAAGTAAATTGCCAACGGATAGAAATAAAAATCTCTTCTTCTATTTTCTTAAATTTTTTAAAGTTGGAGGAGTTGCTAATTGCCTAATATCTCCTTTTATTATTATTATTATTATTAAGAGAATCATTCCTAATAAAATAAAAAATTATGGGGGGCCTTGTCGTTTTGAACATGGGGCGAGCGTTGGGACATTCTAGTCCGGCACCAACGAAAGCCAATCCCACCTCCCCCCCCCCCCCCCCCCCCTCATCGTACCTGTTCACCGGCGCGTCATCGTCCACTGATTCTCTCTCTCTCTCTCTCTCTTCGATATTTATCCCTCTCCGCCCGAAACAGCCGCCCTTTCTCTCTCTACAATCTCTCTCCCCCCATGGCATCGTCGGGCGGCAGGACCGGCGGCGGGGGTCCTCCGCAGCTCTATTTCTGTCACGAGTGCAACCGCACGGTCTCGATCAGGCCCTCCCCGGCCTCCGATCTCGCCTGCCCGGTCTGCAACGGCGGTTTCCTGGAGGAGGTCGAGGGCCCCGACGTCAGCCGCATGCTCAACCCCTTCTTCCCCTTCGACTCCTTCGGCGGGGGCTCCGCCGGCTCGAGCGGCGGCGTGAGTTTCGGCTCCGGCGCCGGATTTCCCTTGGTCTTCACGTCCTCCTCCGCGGCGGGCGGCGGCGGCGGCGGCCTGGGCGGAGGGATGGGAGGGATGGATGAATTCGCGGCGCTCCTCGGGGGCGCCTCCGCCTTCGACGACGGCAACAGCAGCAGTCCCGACGCGTTCAACCCCCTCATCTTCCTCCACAACTACTTCCAAACCCTAAGAGCCGGTGGCGCCAACATTCAGTTCGTCATTGACAACAATACCGGCGAGGGCGGCTCCTTCCGCATCCCGGGGAACATCAACCTCGGCGACTACTTTATTGGCTCCAATCTCGAGCAACTAATCCAGCAGCTCGCAGAGAACGATCCCAATCGCTACGGCACGCCCCCCGCGTCGAAGTCCGCAATTAATGGGCTTCCGGTCATCAAGATCACCGAGGAATTGCTCGCCTCAGACAATTCGCAGTGCGCGGTCTGTAAGGACACGTTTGAGCTTGGTGAGGAGGCAAAGCAAATGCCTTGTAAGCATATATACCATTCTGATTGCATTTTGCCCTGGTTGGAATTGCACAATTCTTGCCCTGTTTGTAGATATGAATTACCCACTGATGATCCTGATTACGAGCAAAGGAATAGGGGTCTCCAGGCCCAGCAAGATTCTGATAATCGGATGCAATCTGATGGGTCTAGTGACTCGTCCGGTGCTCCCGTGTCTGGAGACAATCCACAAACAATGGAGCGGCGATTCAGGATTTCGTTGCCTTTCCCCTGGCCGTTTAGGGCATTTGGCTCTCCTGCAGAGACAAGTGATAGTGGCAGTGGGAGTGGTAACAATAACGGGAACAACGATGGGAATTCAAATGCTGGGGATGGTGGTGTAAATCGGAACTTTGAATCGGAAACCAGACAGGAAGATCTTGATTGAGGAATTGTGGCGCTTGTCATCATGGAACGAGTGAGTTGTGTTTTCAATTTGTTTGGTTCGTCTTATTCCTGCTTTTGTCCTCTAAACTTAAGTAGAGTGTAGGTGATAATATCAATTAGCACAAGTGCAGGTTAGAGTAGTTATTTCTTCATCTAGGACAGGGATACACAATAGTCTAGTTGTCAAAAGAGAGGATTCAGAATACTCAATAGGCTTGGTTGACTACTATGATGTATTAGTTAATCAAAGGATGTTCTTACAGCAGATTTAACATTTTATATGTGTCGAGACTTGATATTCTAGTTGTAACTTCTTACTCGGGAGAAAAAGAGAGGCTGGGAAGAAAGCATGTTTAATGGAGGATGAATTAGAGTTTTTGCTTTTGGTGGATGAAGGATTTCATGGAAAGAACTCTGAAATGTAGCGAAAATTCTTGTCGCTGACATATGAAGTAGAGGTGTAGGTGATAATATCTCATATAGGCACAATCATCATGCCCGTGACTAAATGAAGGCTCCACCGAACTGTCTAATAGTCTCTCATCATTTGACCCAAAAAAAAAAAAAATCTCTCATTGAGAAACCTTGAGAAAAGAATAAGCTCCTTCTTTATTTCAATTGCTGTCTCTGTTCCATGTGGTGCTCCAGTTTGCAAATGGCTCTTGCTTTTTAAGACTTATCAAGCTAGTATCCTTTCCACAGAGTGGATTAAAGGACTATTTAAAGTGGGGAGCTAAAAGATAAAAAAAAGAACAACATTGGGAGCTAGTGGTTTGGTAGGTCAATGGCATTCTAATGCATGATGGAATATGATGTTCTAGAAGTAGTAATACACTAAATCCTTGTGTTTTTGCCCAAATTTTTGAGGGAAAGAGTTTATTAAAAAAGCTTAACACAAACTGAACTATAGGGAAGACTGGAAGTGGCAGAATTGTAGGATCGAGAGAAGTTGTGGGGAAGATGATAGGCAGCTTTTGTATTGTCTACTTTGGGCACTTGCCTCATGTTTTCTGGAAAAGATGTGACAATTCTTGCATTGTTTTTTCCTCCAAGAGACTCTATGTGGTGCTGGAGAAATATAGGTCTCTTGTGTCCAGAACATAGTCGGCGGGCCTTTTCACTCTGTAGATGTACTGATTAAGTTAGACTGCTGTCAGCAGAAGATGCTATCACACTACTAGAGTCTATTATTTATATAAACATGTATAACTATGCATACATATGTATATGGCGGCACATGTTCCTTTGTCATGTATATGTAGCTTTTCCACAATGTAAAATGGTGGGATGGGGGGCTTCAATGCCTTATTGTAGACAATTTTAAGAGAGAGAATTGGTACTTTATGTGTTTAGTTGACATCTATAGAAAAATATTCATGATCAGTTTTCCATTTCACAAGCAATATTGTGTATTCCTCCTGTATCCGCAGATCCAGATTAGTGAGCCAAAGAATTCTGCCACTGTCTCTTTGCTTTCGACTTTGCGACAGTTGATATTTGTTTTTACTGGTTTTGTTACCAGAGTAAATCATAAGGCTGGCGAACATGGTTAGATCATTAGAATGAATTATTGTGATTTTTATTTGCGTCTAGTATTAGTTTGTGTTAGTGCTTCACATCTAGCCCTATACTTTGACTATTTCTTACTTGTTTCCAATTATTTTCTTGTTCGTAGCTTTAAGGTATATCTTCTCCCAGCATCTTCTTCTCAGTAATTGAGATAGTTATCAAAGAAGTTAGGCTTGGTGTGGTTCCTTTAGCACCAGAATCTTTATATTTTCTGTGCTTATCTTGCTATGGTTCCTCCAGCTGTCCTATTAAGTTGTCTCAGCTCAGGCCTTCTATACCTCGCATGCTAATTATCTCGCAACTATGTGCTGCCCCTTTCTGGGAGGGAGGCAATTGAGTATGCTAGTCTTCTTTCTACTTGCTTTCATTTTCAGGGGATACTCTGATTGTAGGTATTTTATTTATTGTGGTTTCTCTTATAGTCTTCTTGTATCGACGTTCTGCGTTGGTCCATACTCACATAGTTTTATGTTGATTTCCACTGTTTCTTCTTTTCTTAGCATATAGTTTAGTCTTAATTTTCAACAAAGAATGTGATCACGGCATATCAACACTTTGGAGAACTTTTGTTGAAGGAGTCAATTAGGGTCAAGGACACTTCTAGAGTGCAAGTGTCAGCCTACAACTTCTTCATTAGTTCGATGTCCACGTCTTGCGTAACTTGTAGACTTTTTTGCTTTATCTTCGTGGTAGTTCATATTCTTCTGTAACCTTCTGTAATAAAATGTGGAAGTTTGATCGATTGGCACTGTGTCCATATATGACACCAATAACTGCATACAGTGACTGAAATTGGCATCCCATAGCTTTCTGACTGTTGACATCTAAGTCAGCAGACCTCAGATATATCGAATAATTATTTGAACTAATGTGTATATCTTTAGACGATTGGTGAATAGATCAAATAGACAGATATAAAAAGAAAGTTGTCTATGAAATTTTGCTTAATGGCACAATTACCCAACTGACATTAAAGTAATGTGCTGGTGGAATGATGTTTAAAAGGTCAACTTCTGTTCTCCTTTGTTGGAGATATAGATGTGTAAGTAAACATACAGTGGCTTAGGCAGATGTTTCTGTTTTATTATCGGAAGGCATTCTATATGGTAAGTACTTTATGATCAGAAAGGGGAAAAACATGTGAGAGAGAGAGAGTAAATGTGTAATCAAACTTTATGCTTCTGGGCACGGTCGGTTTTTCATGGAGTTGCAACAATAGGTATGACTTCTGTTTCAACGCACTCTTTTGCAGGGAAACTTCTTTGGCAGGGGAAATTCAGCTTCGGGCCTGTCAGTATTCCCTTATTTAAAGGCCCTTCCAGGTGAGAGGCATATCGAATACATTCATAGGTGAACTGCTCTCTCCACCAGAACGTCGGGAGATTTTGTTTTGTTGTCCTGTTGATATACTATACTTTTGTTCCGGTGTCATTTGTTTCCAGTACTATGAATTTTTCTCTGGGAAGATGTATACCCTAGCATACATATGTTCAATGCTGTCTTTTTTATTCGAGCTAATTACCGTCTTGAAAAGGATGTGCTCCTGTTGGAACTCTGTTTTTGCTTTCTCCTGGTGCAATAATCAAAAGAGTTCCCTGGGAAAGGCGTTCGCATGGTCTTTTATTCTCTATCTAAATGCTAGAATAAATCTGTGTCCGGAAGATGTTGAGTTCGTGCCATATGTTCATCGTTCTCTCGATGGATTTATGAGCAGTATGTCATCTTGTCTGCGGTTCTGCGCTTCCTGGTACCGAACATTCATGCATTTCTTACATATTTCTAGTACCCCATTCCCTGTTCGGCAGCACCACGGGTACTGTATTTTTGGGTGATACGACATTGGGTTAATGTACTTACGCCTCGTCTTAAATCACAAACATATTTACTTGGTTCACTAGCCGAGATAAGGCAAACAAACAAATTGCTTCACTGATTGTTAATATAGCCGGTAAACTGCGGGTAAGGACTTCACTTTCATGGCACTCACCAGTCACCGTAACAGGTGAGTTATCCCAAGTGAACCGATCAAGCATAATGATTTGCGAGGAATAACAGACCTGTAAACAAAACAGATTATTTTGGTAATCCACGTTAACTTGATTCTTATAACTCCACAGCCAATCCTCAAGAGATATCTGCAGCGGCTAGTTTCTGTTGAAGCCTTCGAACTCTATCCTGGGGAAAAAGGAAGAAAAAGGGTAACGAAAAAGAAGAGAGAAGAATCGAAAGTTGTCACTGCATCCCAACAGTAACCTCAATAGTACTCCCCAACATGAGATATTGCAGCAGCACACGCAGATAAATTTTTAATGACGGATTAAAGAAGTTTCCATCGCTTTAGCCACTCCAAAGGAGAAACTTATCCTCAATTCTTCACATTTTAAAGAAGCAAAACTTCATCAGCTTCCCCTCAGTCTTGTGGTTTGGCCTAAAGATATTAAACGTCAACAACAAAAGTTGAAGGCATGACTTGAGAGAGAGATAAAAGGAAAGAAGTGTATCTTCCCTTAGAACAGTCATAGATGCCCAAGTCTTATTGGGTAGATGCGGCCTAATTTGCTACAACTGCACCTTCACCTCATAACGTCAATGAAGAACATATTTTCTAAGACACAAAGTCAGTTAAAGGTTATCTAGAGCAGAATTATCAATGCTCAAATTAAATATTTGCACCTAAAAGGATCCTTACAGACATGCTTACAGTAAATGTTTCTTTTAAGTAAACCAGAATTTGATAAAACACATCCAAATAAGACAAAAACATATGTTTTCCACTTTACTACATAAGCATTCCGCTACCTTTTACCTGTATTTTGAGGGACTTATCACTGCCGAAATTATAAATACAGCTTCTACAAGTAAATTTCTATTCAATGCATTCATGTCAACTGAAAACTGTTAAAGGATACACACATAAGCATAAAAACTATCACCAGTACTCGTATCATCAATGATGAAAGAATAGAAGAACCTCTAAGGAATACAACTCATACATATCATCAAAAGATGAACCTTAAAAACAGAAATACACCCTTCAAGTAGATGTCCACTCACAGCATAGACAATAGAATAGAGCTCACAAGAATTTGACACCGATAAACCAGCATTATCAAAGACCGGAGAATAACTGCACTGATCAAACTTAGAAAATAAAGCATACCTTGAAAGATCTGGACCGATGAATGGAGGGATCTATCTGTAAGGACGTGGAATGGAATAGGACTTTTCAGCTTCATCAAAATATTCCATTGACATGAGAGCATCGCCCTGACATAAGTAATCCTGGAACAAGGAAAGAACATCTGCTTTAGAAACACAATATCAGCCAAAATTCTCACCAATACAAGGCTCTCTCTCTCCCTCTCTATTTCTGGTCCGCACCACTGATGTAAGGATGTGGCGTGGTCTCTAATATCTAAAACATATAATTCGATGATTTTAAGGTTAGATACTGATGGAGTTATCCAATTTTAACCAAAGAGAATTCTCTTAGTTGTTGAAACCATGGGGCAACGTCTAATGGTAGAGTAATTAGAAAATTTGAAGATGAGTGTGTTCTGATTGCTCGACATGCAGGTCCAAATAGACCCTTCCCTAACAAAATGTATATCGTAAAATCACGTGACTGCATTAGATTATTTGAATCTCGCTACATAAACAGCAATTGCCCCGTCTCCTTCCCCTTTCTCTACTTTCTAAATTGCGTCCCTTGCAGGGAGACCTAGGCTGCTCCTAAAGCCTGCCTCTTTTGTGTGCCCCTCATGGGAAATGATCCATGTTTAGAAAAATTAAGGTTACAAATGCTTCAATCATGTCAATCAATTTTTATCTGAAGTAGAAACTCACTGACCACAGTGTGCCGAGGAGCTGATGTTGAGGCATCTTTTGCATCTTCAATAGCCCCACCATAGTTGCACAATCCCAACCTCACAACAGATTTGAACAAAACATAGATCTCTAATTCATAAATCTTCAAGAGCCCCACTCTAGTTGCACATCTTCTCCCTGTCACCAGCAGCTTGGTTTCCACAAAGGCGCCGCTTTCAGTGCAAACTCATTCACATCGTCAGCAGAATCAACGCGAACCGCTTGTCAGCTACAGACAAGAAGGTTAAATCTCATCTGGGAATACTTATTACATAGGCGTGACAAATTTATAAAGTCCACCATCAGACAATTAAAAATTTCCTTAAAATAACTAACTGTTTCTTAAAAAAAAGGCCGACCATCGGCTAATGTTAAAATCTATTTTTGGTAAAATATATCAATCTATCTATTCATGATAGAATCATTCTATTTATGAATTTTGGAAGCATATTATTTGAAAAAAAATTCCTAAAACAAAAGTTTTAGTTCACCCTTTCTATTTTTCCCTTGGCCTTTACATCTGTATACATACATGTATAATATTGTCACTTTTACTAAAACATGCAGGATACATGTTGGTCTACTAGCAACTTTCTCCACTTTATCGCACCAAAATCAGACAAAACTCACATTATTTTGTTTCCTCTTTTGGCACGATGAAATATTCCTTGCATGCTTATTTTAGCAATTGTGTTTCTGGAAGATAATTGTAATAATATGCATAATACATACGAGCACTTTGTTTTCTTTTCCCATTCAAATTTAGGTTCCTATTTGGACCGAGAGTATAGCTCATTATCGATTAGCAAATAAGAAAGTTCTATATACATATACACAGCTTTTGTGGTCACTAATTAACATAATAGAAATTGATTATCTATCTCCCCCTGTGAAATTATGCTTCATACGAATTTATAAAATTAAGAATGACAAAAAACTGGGTAGATCTGCTACAATGTCAATGTTGCAACTTGCAAGAACCACGCTCCCAACACCTTCTGTGTCTGAAGGATTTGTCGGCATTCCGAGCAGTGTGCTGGTCGTGGCAATCCTCCTCTGTGGTCCGAGACTGGCGCTATGTCCCCGGGTTGATGCTTGCGGATAATAGGGGGACATTGTGGCGCTATAGTTTCTCTGCCTCCCATGTCAACGGGTTCACAAAGTGCTCCTGCTGGAAGTGAAGGTGAGGGTGTTGACCCTCGGCGAAGATTGGGAAGTCCACGTGCTGAAGAGTCCGATGTCGCGCCACAACCATGTTATTGACGGCTTGGTCCCCAAGGGTTAAATGTTATATTTGAATTTGTGCTTTCGACGCTTCAAATTTTACACTTAACAATGACGAACCTTTCGTAATAGCTGCCTGCGTATTTGCTTTCTATTGTCTTATCTGCTGCCTTACATGTCTTTAAGGTCTCTTATACGCAAACGCGAAATTAGTGTGTTTGTAATTCGTCCATGGAAGAAGAAACAACGAAGAGTTGGAATTATATTGATTCCTTAAGCGGGGTCAACTACTTCTCTTCTGTTTTCAACATTAGGCTTTTCACTACAAGAACCTTGGTCGCATGAGAGGAGAAGGATATAGTGTTACTTGAACTTGTACACTACACAACATTTTTGTGTAAACAATAAAAGAAAATCATTATGATCAGTGAAATAAATAAATATGTTTATCCTTAATAAGGAACTGTCAATCTCTCATGATTAATAGGTATGTTTATTTATTTGATTCAATGAAGATTTTGCGGTTGGATTCTTTTCTCATTACAAAGTTCTAACTGCTATGTGTGTGTACAGGTGCGCGTGCTCTTGTATATATATACACTTGATATCTTATGTATAAATATACTGGAGAAGGAAGAAAAGCAAATAAAAGAAGAGGTTGGTCACATGACCATTGACCAATCAAATTGACCAGCTTTGACCAATTAAATCATTAACTGGTTATTTTTAACAAATACTCGGGATGCTTTTGGGAAAAAATTATCAAAAACTCTAAACTATGCCACCTATGACAAATTTACTCCGAACTTTTTTTTGTAACACGAAAAACCCCAAATTATACCACTTGTGACACATTTACCTCATAATACTTTCTCCTTGGACATTTTCGTCTTTTTTCTTTTTCTATTTTTTTTCCTTTCTTCTCTCTTCCTTCCGTTAGCCATGGCGGAGGGAAGTCGGTGAGGGCGGCCCTCGCCGGTGTTGGGGTTGGGCGAGGGCTGCCCTCGCCGGCATCGAGCGAGGGTCGACTCTAATATTCAGGTCAAACTGTTGCAATGTTTTGGACTGAAATGAGCTGACCATCTCCTTTTCGATTGGCCAACGATGAAGAACCCCGAGTGAAATATACGGTTCTAATAATTCCAAAGCTAAGGATTAAAATTTTTAAAACCAAATCATAAAGCCAAATCGGCTGTAAATATAAAAAGAAAGGGAAAAATAAAATAAAAAACCGAGGCTCCACGGTGGAACGGAAATTTCACGCCAACCGTCGGATCAATGCTCGATCCAACTAGCGCAGATCATAGGGCATAATCATGCTGTCGCTTGTTTCTCTCAAAAACCAGATGCACGAGCTACTCAAGTGCACACGATCTGGATCCTAGCATTTACTGCTAAAAAAATCATCCGAACTTTTTATTTATTTATTATCTAAATTTATACATTTAACTTCTCATTTTTCAAGTTTAATTATGAGGTGTTTGCAGGCCGAAAGTAGGCCTGGAAAAAGCTTCTTTTTTTTCAAAATTTTTAAAATATCCAAATTAGAGAAAAAAATTAAATGGAAAAATAAACAAAATCAAATGCTAAAATCTCATTGCATCATTTTTGTCATTTGCAAGGGAGGTGGGGAGATCGATTCCCCGCGTTCTTAGGGAGCTGATAGGTGTGGGATTTTTGCAAAATTGTAGTAGTCTAGTTTTTATAATTCAAATGAATTAAAGGATGAAATATTTTTTAAATTATTTGAATTGTTATAAAATAAGGCATTGGAAAATTAATTGCCTAAAATTGTTGGCCGAAAAGACTAAATTGATAAATTATCAAAATGTTTAGGATTAAATTAACTAAATTAAAAGTTTTATGATTAAATTGGCATTTATATAATAAGTATGGCATCCGTATAATAGATTTATGATTTTTGAGACGTCCAAATTTTGTTTGGTCACGCTCAGCGGATATGCTCAGCGGATATATAAGCAGTTCTTCACAAATTGTACAACACTCATTAAAAAATGGAAAAAGAATTATACCAACAGTAGACCTGTCCAAGGCTCCATGACTATATCACTATTCTTTTCTCTTTTTATTATTATTATTATTATTATCCTAAAGATCATCTCAAACTTTTCCCTATGTAATTTCAAACTAGGGACAGAACATTATTAATTCAAAAGTAAACTGAATCCTAACATTTGAAATCACGATTTCATTAACCCCCATCACTTTCTATTGCTTAAATAAATCTTTCTTATCTTTTTTAAATTAATATCCTTATTATCTCACAAAAGTTGGAATTCATCTTCCCAAATTGACCAAAACTTAAAAAACTACTTTCGTTAACATATCTACTTTCTTTTTTCTTTTTCTTTTTTTCCATTTCTTCACACCCAATAAACAAAAAAAACTTCTTTTGGACCCAAACTACATGATTGACCTCTTCTCATGCAATTCCATTGTGCCTTGTGCACTGTTAGTATTCTATTTTGGGATAATTACACAAACGGTTCCTAAATTTTGGCCCAATTTCTAAGTTGTCCTCGAATTTTTATTCTGTACTATGCAGTCCCTGAACTCTCGGTAAATGTTCAATCTGGTTCCTAAACTATGTGAAAATATCCAATATTTTCCTTCCATTAACTCAAGCTAATGGAATTTCTTAACTTGGTTTCCAACCCGGTAAAGTTTGAGCTATGGACAAAAACAAAACGGTGCATGTGGATATCCACATAAGACATTCAACTCAAATTCAGCATACAATCATCGAATAACATGGATAATCATTTTTCTAAATTAAAAAAATTAAAATGATGATTAAATTCTAATATGAGTTGAATATCCTACGTGGATAATCAACATGTGAATTTTTTTTAATTTCTTTTTTGTGCATCATTCGAATTTACTGGATTGAAATCCAAATCAGCAAATTTCGTTAAGTTAAATTAATGGAAAAACAACATTGAACACTTTTATGTAGCCCATGGACTGAATTATATATATACCAAAAGTTCGTGTACCAAACTGAATAAATTAAAAGTTTATAGATGATATTGCATATTGAGCTAAAGTTCAGAGACCGTATTTCAGGGATGATATTGCATACTTTTATTTTTTCCAACATCTAAAAGAAAGCAAAACAAAAGAAACTACCTCCACTGCATACAAGTTTTACTGTAGTAATTAAGGACAAATGGTCTGCTTCAGTGGCCAAATTTCTGGTGTCTTCGTAAGCACGTCCCCGCCACGTTATATACTTGCGCTCACTTCATTACCCTTATTAACAGCAACTGATGTTTCATTGATCTACAACCGATGCAAGAGTGTTACGGATTTCCTGACCCGCTTACTATCTCCCCACTTGCACTGGTCCGTGTTTTCTCTTCTAGTATGGTTCTTCCTTTGTTGCATATCTAATCTAATTCAATCTGATACTATACAAATATCGTGGCAAAGTCCAAATAAATGTTGACAAAGTTCAATCAAGCTCGAGTCTTGAGTTGAGTGTTGAGATGTTCGAGTGGAATCGAACTAAAGTAATAAGCTTTATCGAGTTGACTTGAATATAATTCAGATAATATTTTCATAACCTACCGAGCATGTCAAGAACACAATCTCTACATACCATGTGCAATCTCAAAAGCAACACTTTCCACTTGTCATACACTACACAGAAAGATAAACAAAATATGTAAATTTCCATGACCAACTGAAAAAACAAGCCCTATAGCAACTTAATATAAGCAAATCTTACCACAAATAATTACTAATAGAAAGATGCTTCTAAATGTCTAGCAACGATACTACTTGAACATGAGGGACAATTGATATAGTGCTACATCAAAAACTTGGTTCAATCCATAGAGGCGGAGAATCAATCCATAGGGGCGGATGAGGATTATAATCAGCTTTTTTATCAAACTCAATTCTTCCGTCTTCCATGTAGTATGTTCCCATGTCACAGCAGCCGGTAAAGTAAATACAGTTCGGCTTGATACTGTGCTGGTTCTCATCAACATGTACTGAGAAGGAAGAGTTAAAACCCACGAAGAGGCACGCGTTCCCTATGCTCTCAAGCTCCGTCCACTGTCTAGTATCTAAATCGACGGCGAAAACCTTGAAACCGGTGGTATAATCTTTTGAATCTTCTAGTAGTCTGAAGTGCGAGACCAGCAACAGACGGCCCGCCGACTCCACCAAATAAAGATCCACGCAAAATTTTATGAGATCACGAAATTCCTGAGGCCTCTCCAGTAGAACTTCTATTGGATCTGGTCCATCCGGATCAAACCTTAATATACTACCGAATGAATTAACTCCAATAAATTGGCCCTGATAATGTATGACATCAAGAACATTTTCAAGAACAGGATCGAGCGGGTCCGGGAGAGTCAACAGTTTCCACTCCTCATTGCCGGGTTTCCAATAGCATAATGGTCCGGAGGGCCAGTAAATGACCATGACCGTATAGTTTGGAGATGAAGCTGGGCTTGCAGACAAGATAAATTTTACGACTAGCTCATCATAATCCGAGCCCTCATCATAATCCGAGCCGGAGATTTTGTTCACACTAGGGAGAACAATGATGTCGTCGCGGTAGCGAGTGGCGGCACGAGACAGGGGATTGAGCATGTGCATTTCTGAGTCTTTGCCGATAGTCAAGATCCAACCCCGCGAAGAGAGGCAGCTCTTCGCTTCCGGCAATAGAACTCTGTGAATTCGCAAGGTGAAGAGGCAGCGGAACTCGGCCCACCTGCTCTCGGCGCTCTTGTCCTCATCCGCGAGCATCAGCCACGGGAAATCGAACCTCTCTTTGAATGCGGCAGCACGCCATGTCGAGCACACGGAACGGAATGCAAACCAGTCCTCTAGAAGAAGTTGTCTTGAGCACAGTTCTAGCAGCTCTGGGGGAAGATCGGCCCAACTCGCCGCCATTGTTGTGATTCACAGATTGAGAGAAAGCAGAAATTGGGGGGTTGTGCGAGAAAGAAAGAGAGGAGGAGGATTTATATGGTGCAGAATTCCACAAGGGGAGAGAATATAAGATATACTGATACCACCAAATAGGAATCCAAATTCTTTATCAAAAAGAAAAAGGAAAGAGAGTGCTCGTTTGAATTATGCTTATGACATCACAACTATCTTTCGAGATATAAATTGCTAAAATAGACAAGTGAGGAATATATGGTCGAGCCAAAAGAGAAAATCAAATAATGTAATTTTTGTCCGGTTTTGGTATCATAAAGTGGAGAAAATTGCAAACAGGCGGACATGTATAGTGAAGTTTTGAGTAAAAGCGAGAAAATTATGGAAAATACGACCGTTTTAGTAATTTTTTTGATATAATATGCTTTTCAATCTATAAAAGAAATAGATTTAATTTTGATCAAATAAGTTGACACATTTTATAAAAAAGAAGAGATTCGATGTTTTTCATGCAGCGAAATTTTATCAATTGGTTCGCCTATTTTAGATAATTAGTTTCTTAAGGAAATTTTTAGTTATATGAGTAAACAAATAGGATCTTTTTGCTTTCTCAGAGAGAAAAGGCCGCGCCACTCTAATAGGATCTCTAAATAAACTTAAAAGTGCATTTTGAGGAGTAACATGATAATTTGCTAAAGCGGAGCAATCGCAATGATACTAAAGGGGCAAGTCATAGATTGCGCCTTAATTAAAGATAGAAGTATTCTATCATTGAATTGAATGTCACAATACATTTCTTGATTACCAAATGTACAGTTGTCTTGTTTAGATAGAGAATCTTTAATTCTAAATATTTATAATAAGGAATATTTAGTTTCCTTTATTTTGTTCGCTATTACTCTTTTTATTTATTTAGGAGATTCCTTGTTTAGTCAATATCTCATCTTGTGACTTTAAATTAAGTGATGTAGGACAATGGCCAAATAAATTATTTCAATATAAATTGAGAAAAAAATTTCCTTTATTTTATAGATAATTACTACTTTGAGTACGCAAGGCAATGGAATTACATTATGGAGTTGAAATGGAGAAAAAACCCACTTCAACTTAGGGCTGGTTCGATAATTGGGCTTGGAGAAGTAAATTTCCAGAATCCTTGAGTTGGTCTTGTCCAGCCAAATCGGCCCAAACCTCGGGAAGATACCAAGACGATCTCAATCGAGTAGCTCGACAACACGTGTGGGATTAACCATGAGATGTCATCCATTCATATAGACCGGTCGTAGTATGTTATGTTCGATTTAGCCGGTTAAGATTGAACGGGGCAAAGGTTTACCCTGACTCGAGTGAACCGGGCGAATACCTATTCAAAATTCACCCGATTTAGGATGAACCAGGTGAGCATTCACTCAATTTAGGTGAGATGGGGCATTCCTAGTGTTTTACTAAAGAGCACCATATTTTTTAAAGATCGTGACGGCCTTGTCGATATTATTATCATGCCATGTAATTGCTGTCATTGCTATAGTCATTACTCCTTCGTTATCGACTATTCTCTTTTTCTATGTCTTTTAATTTGTGTTACGCATCAAATTTTGGATTTAAAGTTAGGCCAACTGTTGTCATTGCGAAATGTTGTAGCTTGGTTAGTCATCCGACTATACCCCAATCAACCCCAATCATGTAATTGAGTTTTCAAACACAAGTTCATCTGAACTTATTATCAATTTGGTATTTTCACTTAAATACATCATCTAAGCCCACTACTAAATAAAAGTTTCTACAAAAGGTCCAATCGATAGAAATCGGGCTGGGTTGGGCCCTGAGACTTAAAAGAAAATCACGTTGCCCAAGTCTCACGATCAATTGAAAATGTCTAGGTTAGGCCCATTGGAAAATTGCGAAAACCGCCCAACACCAAAAATTAAAGGGAATAAAGGAGAGGAAAACGAGGATTTGAAAAATAAATAATGTCAATCGAAATAACTATACCCCGACCGATAGCAGAAAAAGAAAAAACCAAGTGGAAAAAGGAAAATGACAAAGAAATTACTAAGGCTGTATGGATTTCCTATGTGCAACCATTAATGGAAGAGGAACTCCTCTTTTCTTGCGTTGTTCTGTCCATTCAACAATCATGATGACCAGATGATCCGAAGCAATGGGTGTCGGCTTGAGAGGAATCGCCTCATACATAGCATCCAACCACGGTAAAGACAAGCGTCAACATACCCGGAACTCGATGTCTACCGAAAAAACACAAGTCAATTATATGAAATTAGAAATTAAATCGAGATGAACTATTTGCGAATAATTTGGACTAAGATATTGAGTAGCATTATCAGAATTGAGACCAAGATAAAACTGACGACTTTTCATATGATAAAACGAAAAGTTTCAATCAAAATTGACATACGAGTTAAAGCTTGTGCTTTTTTAGAGAATTAGGTCATACCGTATGCGGATTTTTCCAAGCAAGTTTTATTTTTGTTGACCAAAAAAGAGGAAACAAAATTTAAATCTCCAGGTAGTGCAATTGCCCTTCCACTTTTGAAAATCTTTATTTCCTCAATTTTCGGTATTTAATACACCCTCCATTAGTTTTTTTTTTTTTTCAATTGGCCATACCCTTCCTTTAGTTAATTCTCCTAAATAGTTGGAAGCACCCGCATATGCACGTATATGCAACAGGAGTACCCGTCACATCGTCAATGAGATGCACCGGCAGTGTGTGAATCAATTGCTTAATGACATGGCCACGGGTCGATTTTGGCCCGGAACCGGCTCGGGTCAAACCCGGGACTGACCCGTTGACCGGGCCTGCGGTTCGGAACCGGCCCGTGGCCTACGGGCCCGGTTCCGGTTCCAATAATTTTGGGCCCGGTTTTGGCCCGGAACCGGCCCGGGTCAAATCCGGGACCGGTCTGTTGACCGGGCCTACGGTTCGGAACCGAAACCGGTTCAAAAAAAAAAAAAAACTGCTGCTGCAGGTAATGCCCTACTTTTCGACACCCTTTTGTACCGCAGGAAAAAAGTCGAAAAGGGATTATCTGCAACTGGTCTGCATCTTCACGTCCCCATCACACATGCAATGAAAAGAAGTGGGGATTTTCGGACAAGTAAATGGAGCTGTTTCCTCCTCTTCCATGGCTTCTTCATCTTCCTCGCTCTGCTTTATTTATTCATTCTGTTTGAATTTTCCAAGAGCTTTTTTCTGGGAAGTTGGAGTTTGCATCCCCACGTTCCCACCCCCACCCACGCCCACTTCCTCCGGTCCTCCTCCAAATCCCTCCTTCCCCCCTCTTCCCTGCGTCTCCTCTGGTCCTCCCCTTTTCTCCTTCGCCCGCCCCCCGTCTTCCCAGATCTGACCCCCGCCGCCGTCGCCGCCGTCGCCCCCGCCCCCGCCCATGGCCGCAGCCGCCGATGCCGACGCCCCCTCCTCCTCCCCCCTTGCTACCCTGCGCCTCCTCCCCTTTTCTCCTCTGCCCGCCCCCCGTCTCCCCAGATCTGACCCCCGCCGCCGCCGCCGCCGCCCATGGCCGCAGCTGCTGACGCCGACGCCCCCTCCTCCTCCCCTCCTCCCGACCCCGCCCAGCCCCCGAAGGAGGAGGACCCCCCGCTCCTCCTCCCCGTCCCCATCCCCGTCCCCCTCCCGGCCCCCTCCTTCTCCCCCCCGCCGCCGCCGCCCCCGTCTCCCGCTTCATCTCCTCGCCGCCTTGAATCCCTCCTCCGCCACCGTGGCCAAGGCCGCGAAGCCCGAGCGATGACCGACGGAGGACAATTTTTATTTTATAATTTATTTTATTAATTTTTAAATTACGAACCGGAACCGCAAATGCGGTTCCGGTTCATACATGGCCACGAACCGGAACCGGCGGTTCCTGAACCGTGGCCATGTCTTCTTAATCGATAGACGTGACCAACCGTGGCCATGTCTTCTTTACTTTGTCACACCAAAATCGGACAAAATTCGAACTAATTTTGTTTCCTCTTTTGACTAGATGAATATTCCCCACTTGTTTATTAATATAACTCTAGTCCGATAAACATAACGGTCACTTTGTTTCCTCTCCTTAGAATTGGGATTCCTATTTAAAGTGAGAATTTAGGTTATTATCAATTATCAAATAAACGAGGGGAAAATTGTCAAAAAAGTCCTAAATCTTTTACATTGGTGCCAATTTAGTCCTAAACTTTTTTTTTGTAACCGAGGATCCGCCACCATTCCCCGGGGACAAGCCCACACGGGTAATCGGGGCGCCTATACCTTAGGGGAGACTAGCTCGGCAACCCACCGCCAGGGCCCCCCACTTAAATTACGGAACCGAGCGGAGATTCGAACCCAAAACCTCTGGAGAGGGAAAGAAAACACCTACCAACTCGGCCATGCACAGGTGGGTTTCTAAACTTTTTTTTATGCCAATTTAGTTCTAAACTTTTTTATTTGTGCCAATTCAGTCTTAAACCTTTTGCATTTGTGCTAATGTAGTCCTAAACCTTTTTTTGATTCCAATTCAGTTTTAAACCTTTTGTATCGGTGCCAATTCAATTCTTCGATACGTGAATAGCTATTAACCGGAAGGACCGAATTAGCACCAAAAAAAGGTCTAGGATTAAATTGGAACAAATGCAAAAGGTTTATGACTGAATTGTCACTAAAAAAAGGTTTAGGACTAAATTGGCACTAATGCAAAAGGTTTAGGATTTTTTTGACACTTTTCTCAATAAACGAGTGGTTACCTTCTATCTCCCCTTGTGAAATTCTGCTTAATTTCAATTCGATAAAATTGAGAACGGCGAGAAACTGGAAATCTCCCACAAGAGTTGCCAGGACTATGCTTGGAACGCCTTTGTCCGAAGGATTGGTCGGCGTTTCGAGCAATATGCCACTCGCGGCAATTTGCTGCGGCTGAAGAGAGGTGCAATGTCCCGTGGTTGATGCTCGCGGACAAAAAGGGGACACTGTGGTGCTTGTTTTTGCCTCTCATGCCACCCGGTTCACAAAGTGC